GATATTATTTTGAGAGGTCCAGGTTTGATGCTAAAATCAAAACTAAAAACTTTTTTGTTCCAAATAGGCCTTTGAGGGGAATTGTAAATCGTCATGTTTTACTACCGATTCGAACTGGTTAATTGGTCGTTATTTTCCAATCTATAACTATATATTTATCCATATGTATATTACCCAAATTTACACAATATTACTAAATCAATAGATGTAATAAGTATATATTTTAATTGAAAGTAATATTCGAAGTGTCCTATGTGTATGAAAAATTTACATTAAAATGTCGTTTTCGCCATAAACATTTTTCAGGCAACACGACGTTTTAGAATTTATTTGGAATTTATTTCGTATTGGTCAAAGATATTCGTATTATTCCTCTGTGAAGATCAAATTGAAACTCAATTTAATTCGTGCGTGTCTATCACATAGTTGCTATTAAAATACAAAACTTGAATTATAAATTTGAAATTAAAATGCATAATTTCAGCTCTAATGATTTGAATTTTGGATGTCTATGAATATCTTATAATATATAGTTTCGCATCAATGAATCCTGTGATTCACCCATTCAATAGTAGATAATATTAAAAGCGAGTTGGATTTCACGAAAATAAAGTGATTCAAATCGTTTTCGGTTTGATTCGAGAGTTCAATACTATTTTAATTATAACTGTGCAAAGGAATTTTTGTGTGTATCATTTAATGTTCTCGTAACTCGTAAAAGATTATTTTCATTTAATGTTCTCGTAACTCGTAAAAGATTATTTTATTCGTGTACTCTATATTATTATACTGAATTCATTAAAATCGTTGTGAAAACTCCTTTTATTATAACCAATTACAATTGAAATGTACACAAAGCAAGTCTACATATTGTATCCGGTGGAAAAATAAAGGATCTGAGAGAATGTTGCCGCCGCCGGCGCTTTCCTCCTTGACCCTCCCCGGTCTCAGACGTCGCGCGACATGTCGCTTTGTGTTCTCATGTTCCTCATGTCGTTTTGTCATGCCGACCGCTCGCCTTAATTACACTCGTGTACCGCAAGGTGTATTCATTTTGTCTGTTTAATAAATAACTAGAGGTCCCGCAGTAGTCGAAATTCGACTATAATTAATTATGATTGTATTTTATACTTCTATAATCACAAATTTCGAAAAGACTACACTATAAAAAGTATTAACAAAGACAAACAATATTTAATCTATACTCAATTTGACAACAGACGTCAAGAAGAAAAGTTTGACAAAAAACAGTATGCATGCGTGTGTGCGTCAACTACATGGTATGTAGTGTGTGTAATGTTTTCTTTATTGATTTAATGTATCTTTTATGCATTATTTAAAAAAAAAACATTAGCATTGTGCACTTCTTCTCTATATTCTCTATAGGTGTGGAAAATTTCATACTCCTCCGTCCGCGCAATTTTCGTAAAGAGGGATACAAAGTTTTTGCTTCACGTATTAATATATAGAAGATAGCGACTTTATTTATTCTTACAACGGCTCTGTCTGTCTAATTCTATTTTAAACGTGCTATTTGAGGAACAACTTAATATATGTTTGTCTCAGGTTAAAATGTCGATCTTGTGTTTTAATGTGTCATTCTGTGCACCTGTTAGTATAATATAATTACCATATTCAACCCATCTTTTTTTCACCTTATAGGAATTGAATTATAGCCCGATTCGGAGCCGAATGAATATACCTATTCGATTTCAGCGAATATTCTTCATAAAGTTCAACGTTTCAACTAACGGTACCTACAATCGTACAGTTATTGAAATTAATATGAAAATGACAGACTGTAAAATCGATTAAAATACTAGTTTTGACTATAACGTTCATGACTGATTCAAAATCGACTTTTAATACATTTTTGGACTATCGAGTTAAAATTGGAATTAATTCATAATGACATTTTAATAGGTATGGAATTATTTGAAGCATTGGAACATAGGATTCATTGCTTAATGCCGGTTGTGGTTTTCAAGTGACAATAATTTAAGTACAATTTGCTTCACATTTAAAAATATCGCACCTTCGAATATTTCTTAGATTTGTGTTAATTGTTCAATCTATGTTAGTTTCGCTAAAACAATTATATCGTTGCGGTTACGCTTGCAAAGCTATGAGATTTATGTGGTTCTGTTGGTGTTTATGAGGGATAAACTATTTGACTTCCTTTATTATAATCAGATATTTTTTTACAATTTTATATTTAGAAGTGAAATTTCAAGTTATTATTTGATTTCTGAACCCGTGATGCTAACGCGGTGGTTTCTTTTCATATTGAAGCACAACATTATTAAGTTTTGCCCGAACTCATAAAATTTCCTTTTTCGATCGTGAAAGTTAATAAAAAATCTATCAAATCAATTGAATTTACGAAAAGCGTTTCGGCTCCAAATGAATTGTCTCAAACAACGACGAAACCGATTGGTCATTCATTTATATCTTTCTAAATCAGACGCAAAAGTTTTGTATCGAGAATGCAGTCAGTCACATTTTCATGTAACTGTTTATATGCACGATATCCGATTTCGTTAATCGTTAAAAAAATTATTAGTCGTACAGACTGAAAGTGAGAGCTGGCGAGGTCGTATGTTACATTAAAACTATTAACGTCATTTAAAACCGCACGGTCAATGGGATGATAAATTTTTTTAATGTCGTAATGCTTGATTTTGTAGCGTGAAAACCGGTTGTTTAGACTCGATCCGCGAGTACCACTAGTCAGGCACGTTTTGCTACGAACGATCGTTTATCTTCCGATTATACAACCATTGGAATCTCATATCCTCGGCCTATAATTTTATGTATAGAAGTATATATGAATGTGTTAGAGTTATAATGAAATTCCCAAGTTGCTTATTTTTAATATCTGGTGTATATTGTAGGTAGGCTGTCTGAAAGATACTAAGCAAACAGATTTTTTGTTTTTGTTATTAATTGAATTCACTGAATGAGATTCGAATTCTTTAGCGGATGTTTTATTAAATTCAAACTTATGCTATTGTGAGATTAGGTCGTTATTATATTAAGGGTGCGCGTTGTCCAGTGGCGAATGACGCCATTTAAACGAATTCCGTCTGGCGAACTACACCCGTTTCGACGAGGCCAACCACTTTACCCCTATATTAAGTTGTTGACGACGCTTCGATTCCTTTTATACGCAGAATGAACTTAACTTTCTTTGGATGTTTAATATAATCTTCAAATGTGTTTATGTTCAATTTTGGATTTTATTTCGATTAAGCTTAATCGCTATGTGAAGGGCCATTGAGAAATCCGCCTTTTCTCTTAAGGTCTCCCCAATGAATTTGAGTTTATTAATTTGGTTTATTGCTGACATATCGAGCTAGTGCATACGATTAGGCACTAACTGTTTTATAGCTTATGACCCGAATATACTCATTTGTACTGGTGTAGATGGTCAGGTGGGTTCACCTGGCGGTAGGCGATCTCGTGAAGTCGATGTTTGACGTAATCGAAATATTACATGGTACTAATATTATTCCACGCGTTATGGGCGTGCATTTAAAGTTTAACAGCGAATTTCATTCTGTTGCTTAATTAATATAGCTCTGACAATTTATAAATATAGGCATGTGATTGTGTAAGTGTAGTTAATGCAACGGTCGTTTAAAAATATCGGAATTCGATTCAACTTCGGCCGCTTTTGATGCAGAGTTACGTTTTATACAAGTAATGTGTGTCGAATAATAACGTTTTTGTTTGTATTTAAAAAAAAAGCGTTGTCGAATCCTTATTTTTTACGGTTCTGTATGATCTATTACCGATTCTGTCACCGATCACGGCTGAAGTCTCAAATCGTTTTTATTAACGGTTGCCCCGCCCTTCAAAGCCGAACGCATAAATAATTCGCTTCAGTTTGGATTTTATGTTTTTGAGGTTTAGATCAATAGCTTTGAGGGTGGCACCTATAATACGCCACGCCATTCTGACATCCAACAATTTGAATCACTACTTTACAAGCCTTAAAATCAACTATCGATCTTTTCGGTCTTATCCAATCATGCTCCAGGTGCCGATGGCTTGTAGGAGGTTCAAATAATTAAATTGCAACCGACAAAAATGTAATAAGCTAACATAATTTTAAACTTAAATAGACCGTAAGTGTTCGGTTGACGACACAATTTACAATAATACAACACAAGGAATTGTCTCAGTATCGTAAATCCCAATAAAAACTGGATCAAGAAGTGTCTTGAAGAGTTAGGTATCTACGGATGTAGGACGCGACCTGACATTGATCCACAAAGATCCGCATAAAGATTTCGTTCGTTTATTGTTTGCATATTTAGGTTTTTCGTGGTGAAGGGAAATCGGAAATTTTGTTTTTATCTAATAGAACAGTGATACTGTGGACAAATTACTAAATATATTAACGTTTAATTGCAATTTTATCACATGATTATTTTGTGCGTACTTACCCTTTATAATATTATAGTTAAGACACAGATGTAGTTTTACTGGTGGTACCACTATCCTGTCTATTCCTCTTACAAAGCGGTCACTAGGAACACGGTTTGAAGGGCGGGACAACCGCTAAACAATACAATTGAGACTTCAATCTCATGTTTCACGGTGGATGACGTATTCACTTTATGTCTATTGGCTCTGGTAACCATTTCAAACCGGACAATCCGCGAGCGAAGTTCATCCATCTATACCAGGGGTTCCCAAACTTATTTTGTCTGCTGCCCACTTTGAGAATAAATTATTTCTTAGCGCCCCTATTTTTTCAGGTACTTAAAAATCACTATAGCCAGAGCCTAGTCGGTGTCTAAGAATGCTAGATAAAATTACAAATCGCCTCTCAAGCCTCTACACACCACCCCCATTTTTTTTTCTGGGTCTCTTACTGTCCCCCTTTAGGCTTGCAGCGCCCATAATCGTGCGTTATCGCCCACTTTGGGAAAGGCTGATCTATGCGAATAATAAAATAAAATTTGTTAATGTTTTTTGATTTGATGTTTCAGGACTTGGAACACTTGAAACCACCTATATGCGGCGGTTTGGCCAACGCGGAGCTGTACTGCCTGGCGCTGGCCAACATGTACTCGGATCCGAACTACCATAGCCTCAACCATTGGAACATCCTGCAGACCCTAGTCAGGAAGGGAATCGACGTTCCCGACCCACCCGACTGCGCGCTCACCGAAACAGTTTTAATTCAAACGAATCCGCTAAAAATGGTGAGAATTGGAATTCCGATTTAATTATAACTAACTAGTTGTCCCTGAAATTCGACTAATTAATTGAAATTATAATATAACTTTGTACACTATTATTATTCTATATACTTCTATAATCACAGATTTCGCCAAGACTACACTTTAGACAAATATTAATAAAGACAAACAATATTAGTCTATTCTCAATTTGACTACAGATTATAAGCAATAAGAAAAGTTTGACAGTAAACAAGTAGTAAGCATGCGTGTGTGTGTCAAATACATGGTAGTTTGCTAATGTATCTTTATTGATTTTATGCATTTTTTATGCATAATATAAAAAATTATTAACATTCTGCACTCCTTCTATATATTCTCTATAAGGGTGCGAAATTTCATCCTCCGTCCGCGCAATTTTCGTAAAAATCTGTACAAAGTTTTTGCTTCACGTATATTTAGAAGTTATAAAAGAAAAAGGTCTGGTACAAATATTGATAAATTTATTTAGTAGTGGCAAAACTATACGAAAAAAACTAACTAGATTAAGGTGGTGCCCGTATCTTGGCATCCACAAAAAACTATTGTATAAAAAAATTGTAGAAATATGTAAGTAATAATGTTTAATGAATTATGTCGTCACGATATATGTATAAAGTTTTGTCACGTGATATAAAAGTGCGTTCTACTTTCTTGCCTTGATCTCAATGAAGTGGAGTGTGTGATATTTCTCCGGTCGCCCGGGTTTCTTGGAAACTAAAGGCAAAATAGGTATTAGTTGGAGGAGTCGTTAACTATGATAATGATAGTGTCGATGAGGAATTCGTAGCTCAATGCAGTTCTGAAGATCGTTCACATATCTTAGAATATTTGAGTAAAGTATTTATCATGTAAAATCCTCGGACAGCCCTACGTTAATTTTATAAATATACTAGACGAACATCGAGTAATCGCTCTCATTAAAATTTATAATTTAGAATTAATAAAACGCGTTGCATTTTAGGAGGACAAAGAATTGCTTATTAAAAAGAAACATTGGTTTTATTTAATAACATAAACGCAGACATTAAAGCATAGATAGTTACCGTAACCTAATTTTGATATCCATTTCTAACAAATTACGTCACTTTCTGGCCAAAAAAAAAACTATCAGTCGATTTATAAGTCCATTCGTAAATAAAATCCAGTCAGCGAATAAATTGTCGGGTTTTTTTATAGCTCGTATACTCGGTGTTACCTGAGTCATGTCGTTCACCATTAAAAGTAACCTATGCGTTAATCCAGGCTATAAAGTGTCCGTAGCGGAATTTTCATCCTAATCCCCTTGGCGATTCTGGCGTGATTGAATAACAAAACGTCCAAACATACACACATTCAAATTTCTAATATTAATGTGGATTTTTGTTTTAAATATATTGATTCGGTCGATATCGATTCGTTTTTCGACAATGATAAATTGCCTATCTAGATTTGGCGTTACATCACTGTATCACGTACATATGTATGCTCTCTTTGTTTATACACACGTCAGATCATTCTTTGTTATACGGATTATAATTCCGTTTTCATCAGAAACGAAAATAAAGACATATATTTGATTCGATGTGCAAGGTATAATCGTCTTTTTGTTAATTGGTATAAGGGAGAGTTTTAGATATGGTATATTTTCATATATCGGTTATACTCTGCACGCATCTTTGTGGTTCTGTATTAGATTCCTCATAAAAATGTGTTCTCTGTTTATCAGCAAAGTAATAACATACTACTTATCTTAATGGTTTAATTATTGGGAATTAATTATAATAAGAGATCATAGCATTTTGTTTAATATTTGTAACATCTTTAAATGTATACTATGACTAATTTACAGTTTTTAAGATTTTCAATATTATTATTGTTGTATTTTTGATGTTTGATATCGCAGAATTCTGTTTCATTATAAAGATTATTTTTTAACTGTAAATGAAAGGATTTTTGAAAATTGTTTTAGCATTTTTTTTTATTTAGTAAAGAATTTTTTGTGTACGAAGAATCAGAAAGATAAATAAAAGTCGTTAAAAAGTTAACACGAAATTCATTCCGAATTTGGTCTTTGAACACAAAAACAGTAATGGCATGTGCGTAATAATATAACGGGTTCTACACTATGTAGTAATAGTAACTGCCAACACGAAGTTTTTGTAAGAACCCGTTAAATAATAGTGTATACAGTTAAGCAGATAGGCGCGAAAGATTAAAACAAAATTAAAATAATAATAAACACAGTATTAAACCGTAAAAGTGATATTAAAGTATGTTTTCAACTCGCGAAAACCGAAGATGAGAAGATTTTGATGAAAGATAGGGCAGACTCTTAATTAGTAAGTTTCTCTATTATACACTCGCAATCAATTTCCTGTATGCTTAATGCGAGTTTTTTAACGTTCTCGATAGCGTAAAAGTTACCGCAAATTTGTATGCAGTTGAAACAGCGCCCCTAGCGGCAAACGTTCCAACTTCATACAAGTTGCGGTAACTTTTACGCTATCGAGAACGTTAAAAAACTCGCACTAAGCACACTGGAAACACTAGGCATTTTTTTGCGAACCCTACTAAACATAATTTACGTCCGTTTATAAAGTTGCTTTTCGGGTTTCAGGGCGCGCACATGGTCGTAATCGAAGCTCTGATGAAGCTGTACGCTCGAGAGGTTGTGACCGCGGACCGCGTGTGGGCGGCGGCGCAGCGTTTCGGGGCTACGCTGCCGCCCATCAACTCGGCCTCCACCCACGAGGCGGGTATCCTGTGTTGGGTCAACGCGGCCTGCGCTGCGTTCAACAAGGCTGAGGTAACCAAATCAGAATACCACTGAGAAGATACTTGAAGTAATTCCAAGGACATGGACAGTGAATCAGTACACTTTATTTTTAGATTGCATAGATGGGACGAGCTCACAGCCCACCTGGTGTTAAGGGTTACCAGAGCCCATAGACATCTACAACGTAAATGCCGCCACCCACCTTGAGATATGAGTTCTGAGGTCTTAGTATAGTTACAACGGCTGCCCCACCCTTCAAAGCGAAACGCATTACTGCTTCACGGCAGACACAGACAGAGTGGTGGTAGTACACCAGTATTTACGTAAATTATAATTTTGCGGGTTTGATTTTTAATACACGATGTTATTCCTTTACTGTGGAAGTAAATCGTGAACATTTGTCGAGTTCGTATTTCATTACAAAAATTGGTACTCACCTGCGGGATTCGAACACCGATTCATCGCTACACACGAATGCACCGGACTTCTTATCCTTTAGGCCACGACGACGCACTCGTTGCCTTTTACTACAGAGCATTTGTTGGGGCGGTATCCAATTGGTGTTTGTTTTAAATACAGGAATCAACACCGCCCGTGCCGACGGTGTCCAGTCTCCAAGATCTGTGCGAAGGCACATCCCTGGCGGCGTTAGTGTCGTTCTACTGTCCTGAAGCGTTGCCTCGCTCTGCGCTGCGGGTGGGCCGCGTCGCTTCGATACAGGATTGTCTGCACAACCTGATGCTGGTGCACGACTTCTGCGCCAACTACCTGCCTCATAACATATTCCATATGATGCCCGAAGACGTCACTTACATGAGAGGGTGCGTATTCCGCCCGTATGGCACATTACACCGGGTACAACTGCGTAGGTTGCTCAACAAGAAAATATATATTTTAATATATTATTGTGGTGGGCTTACTAGGGTCAGTAGACGTCATAATATGAATGACGTCACCCACCTTTAACCTTACAAACCGGTACTAACGACTGCTTCGCAGCAGAACCAGGTCAGATGATGGGCGCTCACCCGTGTGGGATTACTACCAGTATTCATGCAAATCGCATTATGTCTTTTTATCATACGATGTTATTCCTTCGTCGTGGAAGCTTAACGTGAACGCGTGTCAATAAAATATTTAATTTAAAAAATGGGTATCCGCCAGCGGGATTCGAACACCGGCACAGTTGCATCGCTTGACATGCGTAGCTAGACTGGGCGTCTTATCCTTTAGGCCACGATGACTTTTAAATTATAATTGAAGACAAAAACTTTTTTTTTTATTGCTTAGATTGGTGGACGGGCTCACAGCCCACCTGGTGTTAAGTGGTTACTGGAGCCCATAGACATCTACAACGTAAATGCGCCACCCACCTTAAGATATAAGTTCTAAAGTCTCAAATATAGTTACAACGGCTGCCCTACCCTTCAAACCGAAACGCAATACTGCTTCACGGCAGAAATAGGCAGGGTGGTGGTACCTACCCGCACGGACTCTCAAGAGGTCCTACCACCTAAATATATTGTTTCAATTTCAGAACTGGAATGATTCATGCTTGAGAATTTTAGTACAAATAAATTAATATATTAAAATGTGTTTTTAAAATATTTCAGGTCAATGAAACAAAATTTAGTAGCGATGCTCGCCGACCTGTTCAACGTGCTAGAAGTTCATCCGGTCAAATCAGTAAAGTGCCCGGGAAGCGGTGAGTACACGAGAGAATTATTGTCTGATCTAAACAATCCAGTCCGTGATCCTCGTCCCGGCTCTTGCATGCTAGACTCAATGGGAGTATGTGGTCATAATATCAAAAACGCATACTAATATTAGTATTTAAAAAAAAAAGTATAATATTTATGGACGCGGTAATAAGTAATGCTTACGTTTCCTTTCTATTAAAAAAAAATATATAACAATAATTTTCGGCTATTGAATGATTTTTTTTTGTTATCCGTGTATTTTTTTTTAAGTCTGGCATTGCGCTAATGAAGTCTTCGACGGTAAGTTGGGTTAGGAAGTGGCTCAGATTGGCGAAGCTGCAGTTTGGTTTCTTGTCGCCCTGTCTTGCTTGCGCCGTATGATGCTTGACGCTTTTATTGCGCGAGTTTACAACGATTTATATTAACGTTATTAACGAGCTTCATTATATCGTGTATAGAGTTGCTGACCAACATAAAACAGTTCTGTTCGCTTGGTGCGAGTTTTTTAACTCCCAAGTTTTGCCGCTAGGGGCGCTGTTCCAACTCCATACGAGTTTGAGTTAACTTTTACGCGATCGAGAACGTTAAAAAACTCGCACTAAGAACACTCACAGAAAACGACAACAACACTATGTTCAGTGAAGGCTGTTCGCTTCACTACTACTACTTATACTCGATAAACGTTATTGGACAGTTTCGTTTTTTTTCGCATCGAACACGCCGAGTCAAGACAGGGTGATCGAAAACATTCACTTGTTTGTGAATTACGTCGAACAATTAAATTATCACGTTCCGTTTTACGCATCCTGTAAATTGTACAAACATTGAATTAAGTTTTATGTCTGTACGCGTAACAAGGATTTGGTATAAGAGAATCATGGTGTGCTTTTTTTGATTGTGTTGGGATTGTGTTTTGGCGATTGTGAAATTTGTTGGGCGTGCCATAATCGAGATAAATATGTGAAGTTTTATTTAGTTGGGCTACACAAACGCGAGACAGACATGTCTTTCGAACATGTTTTGTGTGAGAGTTTTTATTTATCGTTTCTGTTGATGAAGAAAGATTGTGTTGGTTTGTATGTGTTGTAGGGACCACAAATGTTCCCATAGCAACCAATAATTATATGTATGTGTTAGGGGTAATTATATTGCAATGATGCTACGTCAGTCTCGCGATTCTCGGGCTGTCGATAGCACGTTAGGTTGTAATCCCAATATACGTCACTTAACTGAACACGGGTCTTATTAATCCTTGCCCGATATAGAGACTCAACAGTGTGTTGGTTGCATCGAAGAATGATTGGTGATTATGAGTGGGTATGTGTGTCGGTTGCATCGAGGCGGTGATGGATGGTATTGCTTGGTGTACAAATGTGTGTCATGCGGGTCGCGCGTGGGTAGCGCGTGGCGGTAGTGACGGTGCGGTGTGCGCAGAGCGCGAGGCGTGCAACGAGCACGGCGTGCGGCCGCGCCGCGCCCTGCCCGCCCCCGCGCCCTCGCCCATCCCCGACCTGCGCCCCGACCGCCCGCCGCACGACCTGCACCACGCCGTGCCCTTCGCAGGTACACGCGCCGACCGCCACTGCACGCATACACCGACACTACACACTACACACATACACCAACACTACCCACATACACCGACACTACACACATGCACCGACACTACACACATACACCGACACTACACACTACACACATACACTACTACACTTGTGAACGTTCATTTTCCCTTAGAGTCGCCGCACACGGGCCACTGGCCACAACCATGAGACGCCGCCACCGCCATATTTCCTGTAAATTTTACACATTTTATATGGACTCGCCGCACACGGCGAAGTCGTCGTGGCCTAAAGGATAAGACGTCCGGTGCATTCGTATCTAGCGAAGTACCAATGTTCGAATCCCGCAGGCGGGTATCAATTTTTCTAATGAAATACGTACTTAACAAATGTTCACGATTGACTTCCACGGTGAAGGAATAACATCGTGTGGTAAAAATCAAACCTGCCGTGAAGCAATAATGCGTTTCGGTTTGAAGGGCGGGGCAGCCGTTGTAACTATACTGAGACCTTAGAACTCAAATCTCAGAGTGGGTGGCGGCATTTACGTTGTAGATGTCTATGGGTCGCAGTAACCACTTAACACCAGGTGGGCTGTGAGCTCGTCCAACCATTTAAGCTATAAAAAAAGGACATTCATTTTCTTTTACTTAATCAGTTGTACAGTTAAAATACCTATGTATTTCTAAAGAAAATCCCTTGTCTCTCGATTCTCACTATATTTTGAATGACGTCTAAACTAACATTAAACCCAATCAATTCAGTTCAGTTATTTACTTTGATACACTGATTTCTGCCTTATTCACGACGAAGACGAGTAGTGGCTGTTTGCAGTTTTGTTTTATTGCTGTGTGTGTCTGTGTGTGAACGTGTTTTTTGTTTTGCGTGTCTCTTTAAACACTTTTAATTTTTATATGTCACCTCTGTTTTTTCTATGCTCTGCTTTCTGTACCGTCTGTTTACTCTTGTATAGATATTCTTAATTATAATAGTATATGTTAACCTGATACGCTTTTATTTTGCTTATAAACTGGGTTTGCATGGATAAGCTTTTTTTGGGCGCACTTTCTCATTAACGAGACTATACAGTAGGAGTCGTTGACGTTATGTCCATATGACTCCCAAGACTTTTTTTTAAAGTATATTCATCGATATTATTTCGTAGTTACGGTAGTGTTGTCACACGATTAATATAACAGTTGATAAATGCTGTTCTGCATTTTTCATTGCTTAATATGGTATTGCTCGCCATAGTATAATAAATATCTTTCTTGTGAATAATAATAATTCTCCAATCCTTTCGATCGCAACGCGTGAGCACGTCACTAGTTTTATATTATAATATGTCACGCATAGTAATGCCATTAAAATTAGTTTCAAAAAAAACACATAAGTAAATCAGAATAGCGTAAACGAAAAAAAAAACACGTAAAAAATTACCGCATTAAAATTTTTCAGTTTTCCAAAGCGAAGTAAACAAAGATTATTGCATAGTATGACTTCTTGAAGTTTTTTTGCTCTAGAAAAATGAAACTAGCGGTCGAGAGCCCAATATTTTTTTATACTCATTAGCGAGTAATTTTAGCAAGATGTACATCTAGTCTTAAGGTTTTTTATTTCGGTTTTTGAAAGAACTGTATTTGTTGTCGTTTACGTGTTTTCGCTACCATGTAGTTCTGTATTTTTTTGTAGATTTTCAGTAATGTTTGTTTTTATTTCGTAGATTATCATCATATTTATCACCAACGTTAGATTTTAAGTAATTGTAAAGATTTTCTTAATCTACCTCAATAACCCTTAAAATAGAGTAACTACCCAGTCATTTTAATGACGCTTTTAAAAATAAATTCACAATGTTTTTATTTTGGCATGTCTATATAAAAACGTTTGCATAGTAAAATTTAGAAATGTGGAAAAAATCATTAAAATAATTATAGAATCGTTGAAGAAATACAATATTAGGTTCTCTTACTGAATTTGAAAGAGGATTAAATGATTTAAAATCAAATAGGTAGGTAGATAATTAATTTAAATTTCGAATTTCGAATATCAACAGTTAGACTAGTGTTATTGTATGTGTATGTCATTGTAATGCTGGTGACGTAACGCAGTGCTCCGGAAAGACGATTAGGTAAACGATTTAAAATCAAATAGATAATTAATTTAAATTTTGAATTTCTAATTTCGAATATCAACAGATAGACTAGTATTATTGTATGTGTACGACATTGTAATGGTGGTGACGTAACGCAGTGCCCCGTTCGCCGTCGGCGAGCAGCGGGCGGCCCGCGCCCCGCCGCTCGGCCAGCTCGACGCCCGAGCGGCGCAGCTGCAGTCCGCAACGCGATCAGTTCGTCGTGCACCGCGGCAAGGCGGTCACCACGCTCGCCTCCCTAGCCAGGAGGGACGACGATAATGGTAACTGAATAACTTTATTTATTGTACTTACTTTTTACTGGTGTCAGGGCCTCTTTTGAGGCCGCACGGCTAGGTACCACCACTCCGCCTATTTCTACTGTGAAGCAGTAATGTGTTTCGGTTTGAAGGGTGGGGCAGCCGTTGTAACTATACTGAGTGAGAACTTAGAGCTTATATCTCAAGGTGGGTGGCGCATTTATCTTGTAGATGTCTATGGGCTCCAGTAACCACTTAACACCAGGTGGGCTGTGCGCTCGTCCACCCATCTAAACAATAAAAAAAAGAAGAAAAAACTTAATGAAACATTTGAAAATCATGAAACTTTATTTTGAAAATGTCGATCGATGAGAAACTGATCGATGAGAACACTTAGTCTTATCGATGAGAAAATAAAAATAGTGCTTAATTTGTTTTAGTAGTTCTCAAAATCGATGATTTTAATTTTGGAAACATTAAAATACCGTCTATCGTGAAGACTAAAGGTTGAATATAACAAATAGTATCGATATCGGCGCAGGATACGAGGCGGGCCCGATAGTGCCGGCGGGGCGGCCCACCCGCGGCGAGGGCCGGGACAGCTTCGCGGGGCGGCGGTCGCGGCGCGGCTCCGTGTCCGACGACAGCCAGCTCACGGTCGAGAACTTCGGCGGGTCGCAGGACACGCTGCACTTCGCCGGGCGGAACCCCGAGAAGGAGCTGGCCATCGTCACCAACGTCAGGAAGATATCTGCGCCCGCAGGTTGCCGAGTTAACTGCTTTTTTACGATAAAAGTCAAAGTCTCGCACCTCATTATGACACAGAAACTTCTTAAACTTCACTGGTGCCAAACCAAGCTCTGGTCCTACAAAGTGTGAAATTTATATAACTAAGTTAAGCGGGAAACGGACGTTGAAATTATGGCATACTGTGTATGTGCACATTATGTATTGAATAATTAAAATCACGGATATATATCGATCATTGTGAAATATACGATATTTCATGTTTGCGCTCACAAGTGTGTGAGCGAAAGGTGAATACAGTCATATATTTTAATATATCTAACATTGTTTTTGTTATTAATAATCTTTTTTTTTATTTAGTTTTTATTGCCCTTGTAGGCAGACGAGCACACAGCCCACCTGATGGTGAGTGATTATCGTCGCCCATGGACTTCAGTAATGCCAGGGGCAGAGCCAAGCCGCTGCCTACCGCTTAATACTCTCCACAAGCCTCGTTTGAAGAAGGACATGGACAATCGACCAAAAGCAAATTGAATATAACTATAATATATTTGAAAACGTTCGCAGGACCCTTAGACAGCTACAACCCACCCCTGCGATCATCGCGACAAGACATCCGAGGCTCATTCCAACTGTTCGACGACTACAACGGCGCTCCCGACGAACGATTCAAGGTGGAGCGGCCCCCGCCGCAGCTCAGCGACCCCCCCGCGCCGCTCCGCCGCCAGCGCAGCACGGACGCCGTCAACTCGCCCGCAGCCAACTACTTCACGTACAAGGGCGGCGGGGACGGCGGCGGCGGCGGCGGCGGCGGTGGCGGCGGCTTCTACCTCGGCGATAACAGGGACGCCACCGACGGCGAAGCGATCAAGACTAGCTTCGCCGATCTCAACAAGATCAGGACTAACGGTGACCAGACAGGTTAGAGAATCGTTTGAAAACGTGAGTTGTCACGTTTTCAAACAACTCGTCGACGCCAGAGCCCCCTGGTGTCGGCCTCACTGCACGTTAGCTCGTCGCTTTCAATGTATGCAATGTAAGCGTGTGCCTCCTTAATCACGCATTACTGTTTCCATTACCAAAACTAGCATTTTATATTGTCATTTTACTAAATATGTTTTTTTTTTAAATATAACGCTTTGTCAGACCACATATTCCCATTATCTGTAAATATCCTCGGATTTTCAAAGCTAATTTATGTTGTAACCCGAGTGACGTGTGTGGGTGTGGGCCGCTTCCAGGCGCCGCGTCACAGTTCGGTCCGGTGGAGACGGAGCAGACGGACCGGCGGAAGACCACGACGTTCTCAACGCCGCCGCTGAACACGACGACGTGGCAGCAACAGTTCTTGCAGCAGGAGAACCAACTCAGTATGTCGAACTACACTGATATAATAATATGTCGAACTTGTATTTTTTATAATACTTGTATTTTTTTAGCGGTAGGCAGCGGCTTGGCTCTGGTTCTGGCATTGCTGACGTCCATGAGCGACGGTTACCCCGGTAACTGTACGCATCGAACTCGACAAACAGGTCGACGTGCAACCTAACTCGTGCATCAGCCCGCTGAGTTTCTCGCCGGATCTTCTCAGCGGGTCGCGATTCCGATCCGGTAGTAGATTCATTCGCGAAGCAGTTGCTCTTGAGTTGTTAGGTTTCCTTGGAGGCGCTCGGACAGCTGCTAGCAAATCCCACCCCTCCTGGCTGAGCCTTTGCTCGCCCACCTGTCCTGGTGAAACTGGAAAGGCCTCCGGGCCACCAGTAATCCTTCAATCATAAAAAAGAATGACGGTAATCACTTATCATGGGGTGGGCCTTATGATCGTCTTCCTGCTCGGGCGATAAAAAAAATAAAAAAAAATAGATGGGCTTGTAAATTGTTAAATTTTCATTTCTAACTTTTCTGAAATATTAAGATGAGAATGTAGTATATCTGGATGCGTCTGCGCAGACGGCGAGGAGGGCGCGGGCGAGGGCGGCGCGGGAGGGGGCGGCGCCATGGCCGCGCAGCTCAACAACATCCGCCTCAAGCTGGAGGAGAAGCGGCGGCGCATCGAGCTGGACAAGCGGCGCGCGGAGCAGGCGCTCTCCCGCCAGCGCCAGCAGCTCGGCCACCAGGCCTTCCTGCAGGCCGTCACCAGGGTACGCGCATCTCCTGCACACTCATTACCTTCCTCTATTCAAATTCCAAATAGAATGTCTGGTAGTTTTGAATAACTTTTTTTTTTGGTAGGAATATAAAAAAAAGTGGTTATATATCCTAATTTAATATTAGTGTCCATATTTTAAGGAATGCATTTGGTAATTAATTTTCCCATTTTATATAATTATAACACTTAGGGAGTTGGTGTGCAAAAGTTTTCGTAGACGATTGTGATCTTTATATTTTAAAAGTTGAGAGTTAAGTTCAACAATCTTGTACCACTAACTGTCTATTTCACCGAGTATTAACAAATACCTTCTGCGACAATTTCACCTACTGTACTCTGTGCTGACGAATGAAAGAAAGTTGTTTTAATATGAAAATAGATGACATTAGTTCGCGCGATAATTCAACTGTAGTCAACCAAATATGAGTAACACGTCCGTAACTCCGAACAATGGTCAATTGAATACAATCGATATGTTATAATATTTTTTTATTCCATTAGGATGCATATTTGAAATACCAGTTGGCCTCTTTGGTGAGTGGCCGGTTGTAATACAATGAATATAATTAATTAGATTAGACCCTTTGTTTACAGTTTACGTTCATCTATTATCGAATCAAAGAGTTTCACAAATCGATTATTTATTTACAAACAATGTATTGTTTTCAAATTTGTACTGAATATCCCGTCTTGGATTAGGTGTTGAACTAATGATGTTAATTTGATGTTGTCTTAAACAAAATCTATTATATTTGGTTTTATAAAAAAAATGGTGCACGTACAATATACTGCACGTGAAAGAAGTGAAACTTCTTTCGCGGTGTGTAGTACTGTGGTTTTCTTCATTTTTCATCCTTACATCGAATTACTCTTCTAATAGGGAATGCTGTGTATAAGAGAAACGACCTCTTCCCTTTTATATAAATTTTAAATGATATATATATATATATATATATTTAATTACTTCAATAAAAATAAAGTTTAAGATAGTTAATATGTTACTGTAATTTACAGGAGCAATAAGAAACTAATAACAAGTCATCTAGTGGCCGAGGCCCGTAAACAATGTGTATAAGAGAAATGACCTAGCTCGCTTTCTCCCTCTCTTCACAGTTGAATGGTTCGCGAGACCCTTTGTCTATTTTCCCACTCTCGCTCTTCCTAAATTGTATCAATTTTCTCTAGCCGTAATTAATCTGCCGCGAGTTAAGTTTTACTTTCAACGCGCCTAAAGAAGTTTCACTTCGAAAACCACCTACAAAAAATATATCTACTAACAACCAATCCAAGTTTCAAATATTCTGTATTAATTTGTTATATTTTACACACGCTTACACTCGCTTACATTTTATATGAAATTTAATTCATTACCATCACACGATGCAGTTAGCGTTGCCTTTTCTACAGATAAGCAGCTTTGAATCATTGTAAATTACGAAAACATTGCCTAAAAGTTCTCGGCAATCACTAGACAATTTTATTGCGCAATTAAACAACGTTCAGAATTTCACGACGATGTACATTCCGCAATAGTTTACAAAACGTATCAGTCCCACTCCAGATCTCCTCACCCCCGCATCTCCTAGTGATCAGAGAGCACTTCTACGAATTTGTCTAATTATAAATATGTACTATTGTATCTGATGGCATGTTTTGTTTCATTGGTATACAAAACGTTTGACGAGAAAGGCAAGAAAATGTTCGCGTTAAAATCAATAATTATTTATTTATCTATCTATATATTTTTCATTAAATAAGTATCTCAAAATTATCATGATTAAAAATAACACGGGTCAACACCAAATTTGATTTTGATTGCAGAGTATAAAATTTCGATATTTTAGATCGTAGTTAGACGAAAAAAAAATACATGGCATGAAACAGTTTGCTTTTGAACTTTAATAAATTGACCACATATGAAGCAAAATGCATCAGCATTGTATTTACACTTTCGTGACATTTTAAGTTTTTCTGGGCTTGTACAAAACAGCTGATCGTTTGTTTATGACTCGAGTGCCATCTTGTGGCACTTTCTAAACATAAGTATTAAAATTTATAAAAAAATTTGAAAGTGAATATTATTACTATAACTATCACAAAAGCAAACTTTATACAAAAAAAAGCTATTTTATTTTCGTTTTTGTGAATAATTAACCGGAAAAACCTAGTTTATACGTTAGGACAAAGAACGACATTTTCTTTGTAGTTGTGATTAGTTTGGTTTATGTATTTGTAAGTTTGCGATCTGGCGTTTTGTATACCGATGTGACGTCACGGCGTGTGCGCGTGTTGAATGTTCTGTGTTACGGTGTCGGGTGCACGCGCGTGTTGCAGGGCAAGGGCGCCCGCACTCCGCCGGAGGACGAGCCCAAGCAGGAACCCGCACTAACGCAGGTCAGTCTCGCACCCGCCCCACTAAGGGCTGATCCCACACCCTCAAGGAATAACGCCGTGTAATAAAACTAAAGGCTTCGTCAAACAGAACGCGTACTTAGCGCGCGTCAGAACGCTAAACTCACGCCGCCTTATGACGCTGAGTTGTGTTGTACTACTATGGTCCTCCTCCTCCCTCTGTGCGTCGTATTCCTCAGTTCTGAGGGTCGTGACCTTTACTGAGCACTTTTGTTAGAACTATGTTCCTCCATTCACTCCTGTTCTCCGCGCAGTGGATAGCGACATTGATGCTGGAATCCAAAGTCTTCTTAATCTGATTGGACCAGCGCATGGGACTACGCCACCTAGGCCTCTTTCTTTTCACTTTGCCGGTGATGAAAAGTCTTTCGAGATTGTCACCCTTTTTCCTCGCAACGTGACCGAAAAACTCTAAAATCCTACGTAGGCAAATGGTAATATACTATCTATAATAATACAATACTACTATGGTAATATTGTCAAACAGAGCGCCAGCGCTATAAGTACGCAACGCTCTGTCGCGGCGTTAGAAAGCTTTGACGTCAGGCCTTGTATTTTTTTACAAATTTTATTTTAGCGTCCGAGTGAATGTGTATTAAAATAGTAATTGTACAATGCCACATCTGAATCACTCGACATCTTAATACTTTGAATTTTCAGACTGCTATAGAAAGGCACTATGAGAGAGAGCGTTGGGCTCATCTAGTCAATTTGTGTGACATGAAAAGAGCGCGACGTTAAAACGCAGCGCTAAGTACGCGTTATTTTTGACGAACTCTTAAAACCCGTGATATTTATAAATTTGCGTACTTATCGGCGGCAGGGGGTCCCATAAATAAGCTCGCGAGGTTAGCTTTCGCCATTCTAACAATACTTCTTTATTTTTTGGCTCCGGCACGGTTTGTGCATTAGCCAGCGTCAAGTAATAAGATTTTTATAATTCGCCGTTTTAATTATTTACAGTTTATGAATAATAAAAAACTAAGGGAACTCCAATTAATCAACTGACATGAAATTAAATTAAATGAGATGATATGGGATGAAATATAATCTCAGTAAAATGGTGGTTATTTACTGAGAATTTTTCAGTGGACTTTTTGGAGGATCCCGAAAGCTACGTCCAGCGATTTAGTTTCATTTTCCCACATTTGTGCGCTTTCACAGATATTAAACGGTTACTAAACCACCGTTATTATATATTAAAATCTTAGGAAACACTAAATAGATAAAATAAAACAATTCACACAACTTCGCTCTTCGCGTTCCCGCCAAAAAGTCCATTCTAACAACTACTCCTGTGAAATAGCACAATGTGTTGCCAAGAAAAATCATTAACGTTTCACAGTGTTGCCAGACGTGACAGCAGTTTTTTTTTATTGTGTGTTATTTGTGTTTGTGTTTTACGATCATGTAGCGGTGTTGGATTTATAATCGTTTGTTTTGTGTGCGTGAATATTTATAACACATCGTTTACATATTGTATACGAATTGCTTACGGGTCGTAAACGTTTAGTTGGAAATAAATCAGGCATGTTTTCAATAATAACGCATGCGTCATCACTCTGGATGTCTGTTGAAATTAAGAAAATAACTTACGGTACAGCTTCACTTGCGCGTGTCGCTGTAACGGTCATTAGCGTACTTTTTACATAATACCTTCATCGAATCTTTTATCATTTGAAAGATGAAGCGTGATTTAAACTGGATGAAATAATTAATTCTAGAAGATTACGAAAGTTGAAAGGCTGTTTTGTTTAAGTGACATTTTTGCAACTTTACAAGAGCGCTATAAAATGTTTAAGATTTAAAAAAAAAAAAAACATAACAAAATAACTTCTTCAGCTATTTGAATAGAGTAAATGAGTAATTGAAGTTCAATTAATCGAACTGTCGATGCTAATACCCAATAAAATGCACCTTTCATTACAAAGATGAATGTCGGGTATTAAGAGGTGTCATACGATTATTATATATTAGTAGTAGCCAATATATATTCTGTTTATCTATAGCAGGTATTCGCAAAGTTTCTTCAGAGATCACCTCAAAGGAAAACTGATTTTTGAGGTCGATGAGCACTAAAAATTCGACCCTTGTTAATGTTAACACAAGTTCTAATTTAAAACTTTCAAGTTACTTTTTAAGTTGAGTTACGCGTACCAAATGTACCAAATAGTTTTAAGTATATATTTCATGGATTTTATGTCTATTTCTTTTGTTAAATTTCTTTTACTGCTTATCCTTAATGCTCTGTGTGCGATCCCTCAGGACATGGTTGTTGAACCGCCGAGTCAATCTGTCGATAACGTGGTCTTAGAGCAATACCAGCAGTCGATAGCCAAGTAAGTATTGTACTACTGATAATGTTCGCTTAGTAATAGCTGCATGGTTGTTGTTCTGAATAGATAACTATGGTATTGAACGTAGGACAAACAGCACTGGTGAAGCTTAAAGATGATCGTGAGGTTCTATATAGGCACATGACTATTCGATTTCTGTATAGATACAACTGATAATAAAATGTACATCTCTAATGTAGTCAATTTTGTTTGATACAAATTTAATCTGTTTAAACTCGACTTATGAGCAATGTTCTTAGTGCGAGTTTTTTAACGTTCTCGATAGCGTAAAAGTTAACTCAAATTGGTATGCAGTTGGAACAGCGCCCCTAGCGGCAAACGTAGGCGAACATTCCAACGCCATTTTTTTTTTCGGGCCGGGATCCGAACCTCCTACGAGGTCTCAGCGCCTAGGGGGCGCGCGGGGTATGTGCGACTTGCCTATCTGCAAGGTGTTGGGAGCAGACCGCGGGCTCAAGAAATTTTAGGGCCCACCCATTAAACGACTCCCCTGCACTCTTACAAACCCGACGTCCGATCTCCGTCCGGGGTCAAAACCCGGTCAGAGTAGGGGGGTTCCCGCGGTCAACACTACAACCAGACACGCGGCGCCACCCCGAGGACGCCCGACCGACGGGTCGTCGAGGCTACGCCATACAAATCTGAGTTAACTTTTACGCTATCAAGAACGTTAAAAACTAAAGCACTCTGTACTGTCAGATTGAATAACGTTCTGAAGTTAAATACTGAAACTAAATAAACGTTTTTGGTTTGGTCGTTGAAGTGACGCGGCGCTCCGGGCACGGATGCCGGACTTGAGAACCTGGTTGTGTACCATGTGTCCTAGTTTAAGGTTAGAATCATGTATTGCTTGGATGTATCGGCTTCGCGCTTGTCGCACGACATGTCGGACTGTACTACTGCATCATACGCTCATATGACGTCATCCTTATAGATTTAGGAGAGAGCTAGAGAGTTTTTGAATGATTTTTCACAGGAATTGTGCTATAATTACCTTGAAAGCTAAAAGGGACAGGGTTGGCAGGTGCTGTGTTTTTAGTATAAAAAGAAATATATTGCGTAACTAATAAGCTGGAAAATTTTTAAACATTTCAGTTTTACAAATGTAGTTAATAAAAATCTAATTAATTTTGATTAAAATTTTGTTCTCTGTAATTATAACGATAATATGAACGCGTTGAAAAAATCTCGACATTGGTACTCAACAGCTTATTTAAAGTACTGTAAAGTTACCACATTGTTACCATAAAATTGTGTTTTATTTGATGAAGACAATGCGCACTATTTTCGTCATTATCTTGACTCAGACAAGTCGTTAAATGCTATGCTAGTATTAAATTATTATTTTTTAAACATTAATAAATGGCTAAACATATTGACAATGTCAATGCCTACAGAATGAACTCGAGCCTGCAAGATATACAAAGCGACATAGCGAGGTTAGCGAACCAACAGAATCAATTGCAGCATCAGCAACATCAGCAACACCAGCATCAACAGGTAAACGCTGAAGTCAAAACTGAACGCAGATAACGGTCCGCTTATTTGTGTCGTTTGGTTTGAAGGGTATTTGAGATTTCTTTATTAATATGTCGCAAAAGATTAAAGACATACGACCGTTAAGTTGACTTTTATGTCACAAAAAGGTTGAATAAAAAAAACGTTATTTGGTTGTCCTTTTAGAGCAAAAAATATATCGAGGGGTGAAAGTCGATTTGGCTTAAGCGACATTTCGCCTAATACGCGACATTCATCTTTGTGATTGAAGTTCCGTTTTATTGGGTATTTTTAAATCAACTTGAATGAAGTTTACCCCATTCAAATAAATTAGCTGAAGCAGTTTTTTTTTCGTGATATTTTTTTCAAATTTTAAACATAAAATGGCTCTCCTGTAAAGTAGCAAAAATGTCGCTTCACCCCTCGATAAATAGTTTAAAAACTGATCTGATATTTTTTTTATTGTTGATTTTAATTTTCATAAAAATATATTTCCAAGATCCTGGCTCAAGAAGTATAAGTTATATCTCATACTTTTTGAGCCATGATCTAAAAAAACAATAAAATTCCAAATTAAGAACTCCGAAATTCCAAATGATTGTTGTATATTTTAAAACTGTATTTAGAATGTGTTGGCAATGATTCCGTTTTGTTTCAGGCGAAGCAGTTGTTCCAGCAACAACCGCAACCACAGCTTGTACCGCAGTCGCAGCCGCCGCCGTCGCCGGCGCCCTACCAGCAACACTACCAACCGAACATTCCACAGCTGGTACGTACCGAATACTGTATAGTGCGTGTGCGTACGCCAAAAATGCGTGCGCGGATGTTGCGTGCGTGCATGCCGCCGCGGAATAATTCAATAAAATTTAAACACTACCACGTACAAGATAAGATTGTGCTTTACTAATATAAATATATATATATGTATAACCTATATATAACATGGAATTAATTTTTAATTTGTGTAAAAAAATATCTAGTTTTGTCTATGTTGTAATTACCTACTTTCAGTCATCACGATTTTAACGTTTTAATACAATCGTTTTGCAATGTTTGTCGAATCTAACCCACACTAAAATTTGGGATGGAGAGTGTGAAATGTTTTTTTTTGTTATTTCCGAATTATTAATTTTCATTGTTAAACAACGATTGCACATAACGCACTCGGAGCAGCAGTTCAAATATTACTTCTAAATAAATCAAGAATGTGTACGAATAAGAATGGCGGCAAATTCACCAAATAAAATTACTTTACTGTCCGACATGATCGCACTGTAAATAAACGGTTCACCGCACGTCACACTTAACACGCACCGGGAGCGACTCGGGCTTGTCTCGTCGGGTGAGCGGTCGCACGCTGACCGTCGCGTCGCACTTGCAGCACAGCCAGTTCAGCTCACAGCACAACGTCGCTCGCTCCCCCCTCTCCGGCTTCGGGTCCACGCCGCACTTGCCGCGCGACCTGCGGGACCAGCGGGAAATGTGGGACCAGCGAGATCAACGGGATCTGCGGGACGTGCGAGATCAGTACTATCCGGCGCAGTACCGCGACATGGACGAGTACAGTCGGCAACAGTTCTACCTGCACGACAGTCCGCCCCCGCCGCAGCGACGCACGTGGGCGCAGCACGCGCAGCACCAGCACGAGCAGGAGCACCGCGGCTGGCAGGTCCGTACTCCGCGCACTCGCTCTACCCTCACACAATACAATATAAACTTTATATAAAGGTAATCAATCTACCGTCCACAATACAATCAAAAATATACCTCAATGTTTTTGTTCTTAATTGGTGATACATTTTCATAACTCAAACATCAAACAGCTTTTAAAGCTTGTCACTGCACATAAACACACGTTGTGGTGGAGGTAAGATAATCTTAGAATGTGTAAGTCAGAACACTATGTAGTGGAAAATAATGTCAAGTAATTTAATTTTAAATTTGTTGTGTTCCAGTTACACCAACAAAGTCAGCCGCAGTACCAGAGAGAGCCGGAGCCCCGCACCTGGCGCTCTCCTTCCCCCTCCGCCTCTCCGCAGCCCCCCGTGGAACGGAGCTGGACTCCGCAAGGGTTTACGCAACCCTTTCATGTCCACTATTCCCAACAGAACGGCAACGACACACAAAATCACCTCAGCTACGTGGTCAGCGAACAGCAACACCAACATCACACCCATCAGCAACACTCCCACCAGCAACAGCAGCCGCTTAAACCGCAACAACTACATCAGCGGCAAGCCTCCCCAGCGCCGCCGCCGCCCGACGACATGCAGCCGCAGAACATTTCGTTCATTGGGAACGCGGAAGACGACGCACTGCGGCACGGCATCGCGCGCCTCAACATCTCGTCGGGCACCCGCACCTACCGCATCCCCTCCCCCACGCGACCCACGCTCGCCAGGAACTCGTTCCAGCAAGAGGAGCTCCCCGAGAACGAGAAAGGCTTTTACATATCGTTCGATAACGAACAGCCGAAGCGCGCGAAGCCCCCGCTCCGGCCGAAGCGAATGTCCCCGAAGAAGGAGAGGTCGAGCGAAGCGCCGAGCCCCGAGCGCGGTCCCGGCGCGGCGTGGGGCGACCGCGTGCCCGCGCACGAGGAGCCCTGCGTCCCGCGCCGCGCCCCCTCCCCCTCCCCCGAGCGAGCGCGGCCCAGCTCGCCGCAGCCCGCTGCCGCCCTGCTCATCGGGGAGATGAACCCGGATCCCGTGAGTGCCCCGCTACATTTTTTTAAACGTAAATTATTTCGAATAGTTACTCCTCACATTGAAAGTTTAACTTCAAATCAGATAGTAAAACTCGACCCAGCTACTCTTGAGTTGTTAGGTCTTCTTCAGAGGCGCTCGGGCAGCTGTTAGCAAATCCCACCCCTCCTGGCTGAGCCTTTGCTCGCCCACCTGTCCTGGTGAAACTGGAAAGGCCTCCGGGCCACCAGTACTACTTCCAGTAATACTTCAATCATAAAAAAACCGATCGAACATGATCGCAAAAAGCAAACCAACATTTTAACGTCATTTTGAAGTCGCCGTGGCTCAAAGGATAAGACCTTCGGTGCATTCGTATCTAGAGATGCACCGGTGTTCGAATCCCGCAGGCGTGTACCAATTTTTCTAATGAAATACGTACTTAACAAATATGTTCACGATTGACTTCCACGGGGAAGGAATAACATCTATACTAATATTATAAAGAGGAAAGATTTGTTTGTTTGTTTGTTTCGAATAGGCTCCGAAACTACTGGACCGATTTGAAAAATTCTTTTTCCATTAGAAGCCGACATTGCCCCTGATGAACATAGGCTACTTTTTTTTATTTTATTTTTTTGGTTTCATGTGTGTTTTAATGTTTCGGAAGCGAAGCGAGGGCGGGTCGCTAGTCGTGTAATAAAAACCAAACCCACAAAATTATAATTTGCGTAATTACTAGTGGTAGGATTTCTTGTGAGTCCGCACGGGTAGGTACAACCGCCTTGCCTGTATCTCCCGTGAAGCAGTAATGCGTTTCGGTTTGAAGGGCGGAGCAGTCATTGTAACTATACTGAGACCTTAGAACTTATCTGTTAAGGTGGGTGGCGCATTTACGTTGTAGATATCTATGGGATCTAGTAACTACTTAACACCAGGTAGGCTGTGAGCTCGTCCGCCCATTTAAGAAATAAAAAAATAAAAAAGGCTTAGTGATAATTTTGTAATTGTAGAACTCTGCGGAGGAAATGGAACGCAAGAAGGAACGCATAATGTTGTTGTCGCTACAACGGCGGCAGCGCGCGGACGAGGCGCGCGCGCGTGCGGAGGCGGCGGCGGCGGCGCGGCGGTCGCGCGAGGACGCCGCGCAGGAACTCAAGCAGGCGCGGAAGGAGGAGCAGGCGCGGCGCCGGGAGGCCATCCTGCAACAGTACAAGCTCAAGAAGGCCATCGAGGAAGCCGAACGAGAGGTACTTTCTATCTATACTAATATATACATTTAAATTGGTTTTTACGGATGTTCCGTTATAACTACTGAACCGTGCATCCGATTGATTTGAAGTTTGGTATCCATGTAGAAAATACATGTAATTAATGGATAGGCTAATATTTATATGAGTGTCGGACTCCCTACACCAATTGCGGGGACGTTAATGATGAGAATCTTTGTGGGGGTGAGAAATATTAATGATAATTTTAAATGCCCAGCGAAGCGGACGGGTACAGCTAGTGCTAGTATACTATATATTCAAATTCCTTCCAAGTTAAATTTGAAAGGAAATTACATTTTTAACGTTATTAAAAAAAAGTGGTTTCAAATGAGATGATATTTTGATACTTGTTTCATAAAAATATAGCTCCACTCCTAGCCAAGTAACAGATCACCTAACCATCTGAAGCTCATTAAGTCCACGGTCGATGCAGACCAATTTAGAAGCTTCTGTACGCCTTCGAACATCAATAATTTATAACAAGCAGAATACTCATACTTAAGATATGTACTAATAGTAAAAATATATTATGTGGGTAGATTTTCTCTTAAACTTGGCGCACCGCTCAATTAATTATTTTGATTTAACCACGCTATTCATTTTAAATTATCGGTTAAGTGATGAGCGGTGCGCCTTTTTGAAATATGTCGTTGATTAAATCTCACAGTCAGGTATAATTTTTTTTTTAAGAAACGTATGTACTAAATCTGTTTACGATCGACTTTCATAATGATAGATTACATAAAAACGCTTATTAAAATTGAATCCTAAATATTTTCTAACTTGCGTGTTCGCTAGTAGGGCGTATAGTAACTACAGTAAGTATGTCGGTAGATGCAATTTTCCGTGTCAAGTTATTTTTGAAAATGTGAAAACTAAATGATTACTCACATGAGGAGGAAAACAGGTTCTAAACTCAAATATACATTTTTTTCAATTTATATTCAATGTACTTTTTATTTCAGGGTAAAGTGATAGATAAGTCAGAATTATTGGAGAGTATGAAACACGGCAGCAGTCCAGCGAGCAGTAACCCTCGGCTGCGGTCCCGGGGCGCCACCACGCGCGCCCGGCCCAAGACCATCCACGTAGACACGGGCGCACTGCACGCCGCCGAGGGGATGCTCGCCAAGCAACCGTCCGCCACCAACCTCGCAGGTACCTTCGCACAACCGCATTCTAAAGCCAATCACTCAAAGTTAACACCTAAACAAAATTACACAATTTAAAATCAATAAAGTACACCCGTCGAATACTGTTAAAAATTTGGTATCCAATTGTTTTACATAATGACGTATTTTTATTGATAATTAGCTTATGCCCGGTGCGTTTCGTATCACCTAAAAAAATCTACATTGACGACATACTCATATATCGACGCTTGAAAGGCAAACGTGACTAAGCGACAATAACTGCTTTGTACATAAATGATAGGCAATAACCATATTCGATGCGCAAAAAATATATATTTCTAGGTCTATTAAAATCATTTCAATTCTACAGCTAGATTCGTTAAAATAGAATTTTTTTCAGGTATTTCAACTTTAAATTAGTTACTCTACTGTAAAGTTCACGCATTGTGGCGTTTGCCTTTCAAGCGTCGATATGTACAAATTTTCATATCAATTCGACCTATGGTTGAAAAGATAAAAATCACAGCGCCCACCTATCTGGCATTAACGTAACTATACTGGTCGCAGTGCTCATGTCGCCCCATATATGTTCGGAAAGTTTCTTATTGGGCTAACAGTTCTCGAGTTTTAAGTGAACGTAATATATCCACACATATATTCACTTTTATAAATACATAGAGATAAACATATGGCTCGCTAATTGAACTACTGTTTCAAAATTGATTCTTAAATTTTCATTGTACACAAATCCAACCATATACTTTAATTTATTGAAAATACACCTGTACATAAAAATACACTGGCTTGTTAAAAGCTGTTTTAATATAATCATATTTTTTTTATTTTCCATTTGTTCTGCTTTTAGGTTGAAATCACAAAATTAGTGCTATATCAGAAGTTTATTCAACGATTTTTTCCCCAAAAAATATCTGTGATTTAAACCTATTATTTATTACCATTAAAGCCTCACTAAATGTTAGCTACTAGTAACCTTTAATTACACTGATCTGATTTTTTGCTAAATTGCATGGCAACACTTTTTTGTACCGTGCTATTTTTGTTGTTGCTATACTTCACTTGACGTATTTCTACAAACTAGTGTTTTCTGATTTATTGAAATTCAAGCTTAATCGATTCAGATTCATTTGATGGGTAACATTTTCACTTTTGATAAAGACAATTTGTTTTTGTAAATGTTAAAGCCAAAACAAAATGCATATGACTGTTATGTATATACATATATATAAACAGAAGATATTAGCGGCATTTGTGTGTCATTGTTGACTTAGCTTTAGATGAATAACAAGAATACTTGTACAAATGCGTCAAGTAAAGTAAACTAGCACCTCACGAAATGATCGGGATATTTGACTTCTTATGTTCTATTACAAAGTTTACTTTCAAAATTTTCAATTGTAATTATAGTATTAAATCTGAATCGTTCTGATGTAAAATGAGACATAATTTCACGCGTATATAAACCAGACGCTTAGTGTAATGCAGTAAAAGCTCTTTATTCGCGGGGTATATATGTGATGCGAATACAGAAATTGTCAATAATGAAATGGTAATGCGTCTCTTACCAAAGGACGGAACGATTCATGTGGCCACATTTAAAAATGTACTTTATGCGTTGAGCAATAAGGCTGATTTCATTTTGTATGTTAATATTCTCAAAAAAAATATAGTGGCGATATCATTTAACTAGGCATAGTTGTAATAATGTATATTTTATTTCTTTATTAGTCCTTTTGACGACACGCATAAAAAGAATTGTCAGTTCGAGATTTCAAAAATATTGGTAGTATTGGAATTTATTTTATCAATGTATATATTAATACCGATGTACCGATTACATTCGCTAATAAAAAAATCATTAACCGCGAATATAGGAATTGGGTCGCATTTTTTTTTAATTCGCGAATAATGAAAACTGAAGGAGCTTTTACTGTATATAAAGAATAGAAGCGTATATAAAAGCGCGCAAGTCGAATATCCCGCTGGGTTGTGTGAGTGACGTGTGTGGTGCGACAGCGGGCGGCGGCTCCGTGCGGCGCGACTACTACCGCGGCTCGCAGGACTCGCTCGCCGAGCGCGCCGGCCTCTACCGCGGTGAGACTGCACCCTTTGTTCGTCCCCCCCAACACCCCCGCCCTCGCCCCCGCCGCTGCCGGTCGCGGACCAACCAGAGGCCGAATATAGTGCACTAATAAATATCTTTTACGTATTCAAACATAATTACGTATTCTTTTACGTATTAGAACTGCTATCTCAAGGTGGGTGGCGCATTTACATCGTAGATGTCTATGGGTTCCAATAACCACTTAATACCAGGTGGGCTGTGAGCTCGTCCACCAATCTAAGCAATAAAAAAAAACTATGATTTCGTTCGCTTTCGAAATTAAATCAGTAAACAATCGTAGCGCCATTCAGAAAACTAAAACTACCATCGATATTGTACTGCTTGGCAATTTAATATTTAATGAAGATGTCACATGAACCTAAGCCATTGGTTGCGCCGTGACCTGCAGTTTGATTACAACTGAATTGAAAGCCATTATACCGGTTAAAAATATATCTGATTACAACAAAAAACTAAATTATAAATGAAAAAAAAAACCACTTTCCAGTAAAATGGCCCTTCGGTTACAGTACTGAATTCATATGAAAATATCTCCTTTGCCTAAATAGTCGACAGAACTCACTGAGCTAAACTTTTTTTGCCGCTTAAAATGTTACAGCACAGAGAGCATGTTGTAAATATGTCGAGTTATTGTTGCTATTTTTTTTAATTCTACTACATTTCAATCACTTCACAGATTATTTTTTAGAAAATCTCACACTACTGCAATGTGTAAGAAGCGCGATATAATAAAAAAAAAATTAAGGGATTTTATGACCTGGTAACTAAGACCTTTAAGTCATGTCTTATTTTTATTTATATTCTTATTTTTATGAAAAATGATAATATGGTGTAAAATGAAATGAAATGAAGATGAGATGAGATGATATGGGATGAAATATATATAATCTCAGTAAAATGGTGGTTATTAACTGAGATTTTTTCAATTTACTTTTTGGAGGATCCCGAGAAGTTGCGTCCAGCGGCTTTGTTTCATATTCCCACTTTTGTGTACTTACACAGATATTAAACAGTTAATAAACCACCGTTATTACAGATTTAAACCTGAAGAAATAACCACTAAATAGACAAAATAAAACAAATCACACAACTTCACTCCTCACGTTCCCGCCAAAAAGTCCTAATAAATATTTAATTATGGTAATATTACAGATTCTCCAGTAGACGACCGCGGAGGCATGTCCCCGAGCAGCGCCTCGAGCGGCCCCCTCGGCCGGAGGGGCTCCTGCAAGACTTCCAGAGGTACGTCCCTCCCCCTCGCCCTCGCCGCTTGCCGCGTCACCACGAGTGTCTCCCCCCAGCTCGCTCGACACCGACTAACCCGATGCTTTTGCATACCGATGCCAATTGTATGTACGAATAATCGATTCATGTTTCTCGATTAAAAAGGCCATTTGACTGTGTATCAACGTTGATTCGGTTCAAAATCCTTCTGAGGAGAGATCAATGAAGTTTTTATATTAATATTTCTGGATAGAATTTCAACCAATTTGCCAATATTTTAGTCATAAAAATTATCTAAGTGTATTTTTTAATGAGTTATACAAAACGTGTTGTACGCTAATGAAACGTTGTCGACGATTTGTTGTCGTTTCTGTAAAATAGTCAAACGTCCTGTACCTGTGAAGTAGACTTTTATTAAAAATCGTTTTATTCGTAAATATAATTTTGGTCTAAGCGTAACTTATTTTGAATGAATTTATAATTAATGAATGATGTCTCCCAACGTTTTGAGTTTCATCAGTAAAACAAAAAATTGGAGATGAAGGCTTTATCTAAACATTTGGCGTTGATTTAAAATACTAAAATCATCTGAAAACTAAACTGTTTGAAATAAGTTGTCGAAACGATTGATCTAGTTTAGTGTGTTGAAGTGTATACACCAAGTTGATGTGAGTGGCAAAACGGCAGCATCCAGCAGGAGAGTCGCTTCTTGAATTATTGGTTCAGTAGACGCTTTGAATATTATTTATCAGGCTAATATATTTATGATAATATTATGTATGATTTCAGCATCGCATAGATCTTTAGAACTACACACGGTCATGCAAATAATAATAATAATACATAATTACGCTTATAGAATTATTCTTTGGGCATTATATTGTTTCGAGTAGTCGCATTATACTTCACTGCGATCGAGAGGTTTTCGCTTGGTGTTTTTTTTTTTTATTTTTTTTTTCAACTTTCGGATTCGCCCACTAGACCTTCCGCGCATTTACTAATTGGTGGTTCCCGATTCGTAAATAAGCGACCGTCGGGCGCGTCGCGTTCCTTTAGTTTGCGTGTGCCGGATTGTTGCATGAGAGTTGCGTGACGCCATCGAACATTTCAGAGCGTGTGAATGAGGAACCGCAGTCGTCACGTGGAAGGTCTAAATATACGAGTTACCAGAGTAACTTTAAGGCGGGGCGCAAGTCAAGCTCTCTAATGAACTTGTGCGGTAAGAGTTTGAGTTCACACGGATATCGCTTGACTCACGTTGGTCGCACAGCGGTCGCTTCTGGTGCCTTGGGTTACTTTCTGTTGCTCGCTCGATGTCGATAGGAATAACGTGTATCTGTACTTTCATTGCTTTATAACTAAATATCGTAAATATAAAGAAGAAAAAAATCCTTAGTTATTTTATAAACATTACCACTATATAGTGTCTATAGTTTTACATTAAACTCGCATTCTAGCTTGTAAAAACAAGTAATTTATTACAAGCATTTTATTAATTAAAAAGATGATAAATACTGAGCAAAAGGTTTTATAATACAAACCTGAGAATGAAGCTAGTGCTGAGGGATGTATTAAGAATTTATCGATAACGGTAAACCTGTCGACATCTGGTTCTATCAGTCTTGTGCACAATTCCTTATTTTGGGTCATCAGTATGTATGTATATCATATACTTGCATAATATTATGGTTACAGGTTGGTTTGTAAGGGTTTTATTTTTCTAACAGGTTCATCGTTAGTGCATGTATTATTATCGATAAAAAAAAAATTTAATATATATTTAGTATTTATGATGGGTGTTGGTGTGACATCGGTTGTTTTAAAAAAAAAGCACTCTTCAAATGTGTAAACAATAAATAAAAGGTTTGATACCTCAGTCATTAAAAATAATGAAGTGTTCGCGAACATGTTCATTAAGAAAATTTAAAAGAGACAAATAGAAAATTTTAAATTTGTCGAAAAGCAACGATTAAATACATTAAAATATAATTTTGAACATATTATGTTAATTAATTATAGTTATTAGTGACACTAATAAATTTATAATTCAAATAAAAAAATAATAAAAAAACTATGGATTGTTCCACTTTAAAAAAAAAAATTCCAAACCTAGATCTCGTCATTCCAAATTTAGAACTAGATTTTTTCGTTTATTTTAATAGTGAGTATATCGGTTGTAAGTGTTTAACTGGTAAATAAAAATATATTATGAGGTTTTAGGCGTAAAGTACAAAATGTTACGTCTCCGATAAATACTTGAGCTTGTTATTATTTTTTTGTTGTGCATTCTTAATTCGCTTTAACGCAGTAGACGTGTCCGTATTATTTATAATATTTAACGTATAGTATTAATAATATTTAAATGTACATTTAGTATTTTACGCTTCGTACGAAGTAAATAACATGATTTATTTCTCTAATAATACAGGTGACAAAGTGTTTAGGTAAAAGTTAAAATTAATTTTCTATACTAATTTTAGTTGTATGCTAGTCGATAGTGCGGGTAAAATGTTAACTTTGAAATTAACAGAACGAAATGGGAGAGGAAAACTAATAATAATTAACTTTGAGGAGATTTTAATTTCATTAAAGTATGTTGTCACTCTGTCTTCGCTAGATATTGTTTAAAGACAGTAAAAGGGAATTAAATCGTTACTCTACAGTGATATTTTTGATATTTTTAAATAACTAAAAAAAACTTTAAAATAAATTTACTAGCAGGCATAATACCTGACAAAATATTGAGATAGTTAGAAATTAGGATTGCGGTAGTGTTGTCTGTAAGTGAACAGTAGTGTCGTTGTCGTGTGGCACGTGCGGGTCGTCGTGTCGTTACATGTGGGGGCGGGTTGTAGACTCGGGTCTCGGACGGGCCACGCCGCCGCGCCGAGCCGCCTCCCCCGCGCACCGCACCGCCGCCTCCGGGCCCGGCTCGCTGCCCGGCGCGCTGCCCGGCGCCATCGGCAAGCGCAGGCAGCACGACGACAACTCCGACGTCTCCTCCACGCACTCCTCCATCATGGACTACTCCGGTGAGTACGCACACGCACGCACACGCGCACGCACACACACCACGCCGCGGTGGAGGGACAGTGATGCAGGGACACTTATTAATACTACAGTATTTCAGAATAACACACAAATATACAGAAAAAATCGAACATTGAACAACTGCCTTTTTTACAATTTTTTTATACTGTGCCTATGATAGTAGAAAATGAAATTTCACTTCTTGAATATCCTTTTTAATTATAAGCATACTTTACTTATCCTTAAAAATACTATTAAACTGGGGCGCAGTTGAAAATAAAACGAAGAAAATTTATTAATTTATTTACTTATTAAGTACATCGAAACCAATTTTAGAATAAATCCGGAATATCGCTCTACTCCAAGCTAATTTAAGGTGCGACCATATGCGCAATCCGTTTGTTTCTTCTTTCTACTCAGTGATTGGAACATAAAAAAAAAACAATTTTGACATAAACAACGACGTAAAAATACATCTAAATACTTTTACTTTGACGAAAGATATTTATTTATACGCATATTAAAGAATAAATAAAATTCTGGAATATGGATTTTTAAAAATTGTTGATGAACGAGAAACTTTGCTCTATTTCTTTCCTGCCAATTCATTTGTTTAGAAATTGTACGTCACAAGTAATTTTTGACGTGTTTTCAGACTTGTATGCAATATGGAAAAAGACATACTCATTTCGGACGGAAAAAAATTAACTATGTATATCCTTGATTAGTTTTTATGAAGGTATAAAAGAAAGATAATTTGCCTATTGAACACCGAACCAATTTTTCACTTTGACAATTATGCCGCTGTGATAACATGTGAAATATGGCACGTATATTTTAAGTACACCATTAAAGAAATGTATGTATGTATCAGATCTTAATCAAAAATGTTTGTCTCTCCAGCGAGATCCAGTCGCGTCCGACGTTCAGTTAAAGGTCCACTAATTTACATAACTGTAGGTAGCAGCTAGTCACGCACCCGTACGTACAGGGAGCACTGGGAACGTTCTCGAAGACTAATTCATTTTTTTTATTGTATACAAAACGTTTGAGCTACACGCAATTTACAGCAAAACAATTTATAATGCATTGCGGCGTGCGATCACAGGCTATTGAGTTACTTACTAATTCGTGAAATTATTATTATTTCTAATTTATTCTTTTATATGATTGTTGTATCCCCTTCAAGAATTGTCCTTTTGCGCTCTGTACACATATTGTACTACCCACGTATATACGTAACGAACACCGAGTTACTGAGCGATGTCATGCCAACATTACACAAAAATAAACCTAAGTAAATATATGCGTAAGGCATGTTTTTGCAGATTTGTCGAGTGCATTTTGGTCTAACAGCTTAAACATGAGCTTCCTCACGGTCTGGACTAACACGGAGCTCACAAAATCATCAACTAATGCGATATCATAACGAATGTAATGTACGATCCGTTGGAGTTTGGTGTTCTGTTTGTTGTAAATAATACTTTCCGTAAATCAGTACATATTTCTTGAGACTTTTTTATTTATTTATTCCATTCAACACGATTATGCAAACGATATCTGATTCCTTCAAGTAAATTAGTACCACATAATCGACACACCAAGTTCACTGATGATTTTATTGTAAACACATTCATAGAGTTGATAATGGCCAGAGTCGGTTTCTATATGACATATAATCTCATTTTTAGTTGTTTTTTTTTTCTCACATAAGTAATGCTATCGATTTTTTTATTGCTTAGATAGGTGGACGAGTTCACAGCCCACCTGATGTTGAGTGGTTACCAGAGCTCATAGACATTTACAACGTAAATGCGCCACCCACCTTGAGATATAAGTTCTAAGATCTCAGTATAGTTACAAGGGCTGCCCCACCCTTCAAACCGAAGCGCATACTGACTGTTTCACGGTAGAAATAGACAGGACGGTGGTACCTACCCGTGCGGACTCACAAGAGGTCCTACCACCAGTAAACTTTATTTATTGCACTTAATGAAACATTTGAAAATCATTAAACTTTATTTTGAATCTACAAAAAAAAGAAGCTTGAATTTTAAAGTTGCAATATAAAATAAAAATATCAAACTGAACATTTGGAATAAACACCAATATAAGGTATTACGATTTTTCGTTGACGGTCATATAAGAGTTATACTTTTTAGTATAACTATATATATAACATAGTTAAGTTATTTTTGTTACTTAACTATGAGAATTTAAACATAGCGTTTTGTTTGTTTCGGGCAGTTCTCAAAATCGATGATTTTAATTTTGAAAGGTAGCCGACTTAACCTAGTAGGTGTATAGCTCTAATAAATAATAAAAAAAAAAAATTTTTGGAAGTTTGAAAATACCGTCTATCATGAAGTCTAAGTTTGAATAGTAAAAGTGTTCGTGTCGCGTGCAGGTCCGCGGCTGTATAAGCAGCCGACGACCAAGTCGAACCGCGGCATAATGTTGAACGCGGTGGAGTACTGCGTGTTCCCGGGCGCCGTGAACGCGGAGGCCAAGCGGCGCGTGCTGGACGAGGTGGCGCGCTCCGAGTCCAAGCACTTCCTCGTGCTGTTCCGGGACGCGGGCTGCCAGTTCCGCGCGCTCTACTCCTACTGCCCCGAAACGGACCTCATCGCCAAGCTCTACGGCACCGGCCCGAAAGTCGTCAACGACAGGATGTTCGACAAGTTCTTCAAGTAATTCAACCTTCGTTACCTATTCGCTTAGTTGGGCAGCTCTGGACACAATTGATACTAATACACCCGCAACTTTAATAAAGAATCGAAGTTTCAATGGGAGGGCTTTTTAGAAAGAGATAGAGATATTTTCCTGTACCCCCCTTTTTCAGCCTAGCCATCTCCATAACATTAATACAATATAATAGCTTTGTATAAATTGGATATTCGGGCTTCGAGTCTACTTGTCTTGTTTGTGTGTATCATAATATAAGGACTTCCGTGCACTTTAAACTCCACTAACCAGTTAACGTAGACTTAACTCTTACCATCGGTACTTACAGTACTTACTGTTATCAAACCTCCGGTCACCGTCCTCGCCAAACCGGTCACTTGCGATGCCTTCATCGCCCTTACTCATCGAGCCCTTGCTCGACGAGTAAATTAACCCACAGACACAGCCCATTAAGTTTCTTGTCGGATCTTCTCATAGGGTCGCATTTCCGATCCGGTGGTAGATTCTGCTAAGCACGGCTCTTACTAGGGCCAATGTTAGCAGCACCTCCGGCTTGAGCCCCGTGAGCTCACCTACTAGCTTGGTGAATCTAGAATAGACCCTCGAAGTTACTAGAAAGTTGTCAAATAAAGTCGTCCGCGATTCCGTGACGACCCCCCCCCCCCTCTCGCACTGACCCGCGCCTACAACTTGCAGGTACAACTCCGGCAGCAAGTGCTTCTCGCAGGTCCACACGAAGCATCTGACGGTCACCATCGACGCGTTCACGATACACAACTCGCTGTGGCAGGGCAAGAAGGTGCAGCTACCCAGCAAGAAGGACATGGCCTTAGTCATATAAGCGGGACGAGTCGCTTTGTGAGAGCAAACGCTATATCTAGTCGCCGGCGGCGGACCGGCAGTAGGGCCAGCAGTAGTCCGCGCCATGCCGATGGTAACAAATTAATCAAGTACAGTAGATTGGGGGGAATAGGGGACTAGAGGTAGAATAGGGACAAATCTGGGATGTCACAATACTTTCGTCGGGCTGTTAGAGATTTAACTTTGTTGAACAGAAAATTACTTTTATTTAGTGCTTAAGAATATTAAATAGTTTAATTTAGTCATCAAAGTTTTGTAACTCATTAAAGATGTCAAAAGTTTATTACCTAACTAACAATTAAACAGTGCCAGCCCTATCGAAAAACTCTATTGTCCCATTAAGTAACCCGATTCACTCCAACGCCTGGGTGAATAGGGACAAGTGAGTTTTTGTATTTTTTTATGATTATTCTTTAATAAACTATATCTTAATGCATTATAAATGAAAATTTAAATTACCGGAACCATTATGATTTCAGTTTTATTACTAAAAAAAAAACGATAAAATCAATGTCGAGCTCAAAAAGTGTCCCGATTCCCCCCATTTTACGGTAAATTCGCGTATCTTTAAAAAGAAAGGGTCTTGTGATTTCGACTTTAAATGTGAGCGGGATGTGTTCGATCGAGAACCACCATTACAACGAGAGGCTGACGATACGAGTGCACAATCGAAGCGGTAACTCGAATTCGAATCGCGATTAAAAAAAAATACTTTTAGCTTCAATAATTTGATCATGTTCAACGTGCTGTGTCACATTGTGTTATTGCATTTGTGATGGATGTTGTTAGTAGAGTCCGCCGCCGCCCGGACCAGCAGTGCTGTCTGTACGAACGCTACGTTTGCCATATGTGTTAGTGAGATGGTCGATACGTTCCAAAATATGTTTTTTTTTTTAAATTTTTTTTTAATTCCCACAAATATTATGTTATCTGCCAAAATGTCGGGTGCATTCGAGATAATTGAATTAATTAACAAACAAACAAAAAAAAAACTTATTCGTTCACAGTGAAACGTTCACAAACTAATCATTATCGCTTATTTTGTTGTAATATTTAACTCGTTAGTGATTATTTGAATTTGACTGGATGTAAGATTAAGGTGATTATTGATTTTGTTTAACTGACCTTCGTTTAACGTTAATTATTTGTATTTCCCATTTTTTACCGCTTGTATAGCTAAAAATAAGACGAGGCACATTTTACCTGGTAATTGTACTGCCTTATTCTGTAAATAATTGTTTTTGTATACAGCTATTTATTAAAAGAATGTTAAACGAGAAATGATTTAATGTCATTTTTCATTGTTCAATAATGATTGGTCATCAATAATATACTACCGATAGTATATCGTATGCAAATATATTGTATTATTAAAAAGCGTAACGAAATAATATTGAATTTCATATTATTGTGTGGTTTTATTTCCCTTTGTCTTTAATGGAGATCTGCAGTCCGATACACATGAGTCTGTGTGACTGACACCCGCTATCGATGATGACTCATACGAATAAGTTAATTGAATGAGAAACTTAGGCAACCGCGACGGGGCAACGCAAAGCCCTCGCCCGAATAATGTCTTGTCGGATATCCCGAATTCACTTTTGGTGCTTTGAGGTCCCTCAAGCCCCGGTCACCGTCCTCGTCGAACTCGTCGATTACGACGAAGAGTTCGAAGAGCGATAGACACAGCCCACTGAATTTCTCGCCGGATCTTCTCAGTGGGCCGCAATTCCAATCCGCTGATAGATTGTGAAGCATTGCTCTTGCTATAGCTAGTGTTAGCAAATTCTCTCAGGTTGAGCCCGTGAGCCCACCTACCCGTCCGCTTGTAGCTGGAACAACCTCTTAGGCTACCAACGAATAGCTTGGGAAAAAATGAGAATTTCAGTACATACTGGTGTTAGGACCTCTTGTGAGTCCGCACGGGCAGGTATCACCACCCCGCCTATTTCTATGAGACCTATGAGACTTTAGAACTCATATCTCAAGGCACCACCCCGCCTATTTCTATGAGACCTATGAGACTTTAGAACTCATATTTCAAGGTGGGTGGCGCATTTACGTTGTAGATGTCTATGGGCTCCAGTAACCACTTAACACCAGGTAGGCTGTGAGCTCGTCCACCCATCTAAGCAATAAAAACAAAACTGTGCTGCCATTACACATTTTTTTCATTCATACTACCTGATGAACGGTCTGCTTCGGTGGTAAAATAGATACATCGGGATTATCTCGAACATTCTTCCGAATCCCCCATAGGATACTTGATACGCAACACAGAACCGAATTTCCTCTGTAGACCTACTTAGCTATGCGCGATCCGTGAGATTAGGTTTATCGAGAATTCGAAGGGCACTCGAGCGAGCTCATGGCTTAGCTGGTATTAAGTGGTTATCGAAGTACATGAACAGCACGTGATTGTCGTCATTCAACCTGAAATATGTGGTCTAAGACTTAGACCTGAGTCTGCATTGAAGAATCGTTATGGCTGCTTCAAAACCAAAACCGGAATGCATTACTGCTTCGCAACACTAAGCGACAGGATGACTGAATGGCCTTTCATATGAACATAAACAAGAAACACAAATTTTCCGATAAATAAAATAACACAATTTTAAACATTATTGTATATTTCTTTTAAAATCACAGTAATACTGGCTTATTATTATTATAATAATTTTAAGCTTTGAGAACATTTTACTTTCAATAATTAGAAACTACCCCCCATTGTGATAAAATTAAATCATTTAAATCTTTCGATAACAATCACTTCGATAAACGTATATTTTAAATTTGTTACAAATAATATTATTAATCATAAAGAGATCTGAGCATTTATTAAAGGATCGTCGACAATTGCACGGTGGTTGGAAGCTAGACGATCGTGAAGAAGTGCGTGACGGGCTCGGCCGCGGCCACCGACTTGTGCAGGTCGAGCTGGTGCACGATCGTGTCCTGACTCTGCAGCTCCTGCCGACACGCCACGGAATATATTATATTATAATAATTAGCCGTTGGGCCACTAAGATGGCGGATGAAAGGCGATTGCATGCAGCAGAGATGCGAATGTTCCGTTGGATGTGCGGAGTAACGAGAATGGATAGAATACGAAATGAATGTGTTAGAGGAAGTCTGAAAGTGGCACCTGTGACAGAGATGTTGAAAAGTGCGCGTTTGGGATGGTATGGACATGTGATGAGACGATATGAAAACGAGGTTGTCAAGAGAGTGTTAACTATGAATGTGGAAGGGTATAGAGAAAGAGGTAGACCTAAGAAGAAATGGATGGATAGCGTGAAAGATGATATGTGTAAGAGGGGAGTGAGCGAAGGAATGGTATATGATAGAGAAGTATGGAAGGAGAAAACATGTTGCGCCGACCCCAGGTGACTGGTAGAAGGGTAGGAGAATGATGGAGAATAATGATGAATGATATTATTAACCGTTGTACTGTTAAAACTGAGACCTTACGCTGCGGCTGCGGTTACCACTTAACATCAGATGGGCCGTGAGTTCGTACACCCATCAAGGCTATAAAAAAAAAACTGGAACATAAACAGCTTTTATTATTATTGTTTGGATTGGTAACCGACTTCATTCCCGGTGGGCGTATGGAGCCGGGGATCTGAATGGTCACCGGGGCTCAGACATCAATAAATCAATGCCGCGGCCTATCTCGAGACACAAGTTTTAAATCTCAATTTTTACAGTTCAACGGTTGCTCCCCTTCGAACCTAAACGCATTATTGGCACAGTAGAAATAGGCAGAGTAGTGGCGTCTATCCAATATATCACTAATATTGCTCAATATAGTATCACCAGTAATGTCTAATATAATATCACCAATATTGTCGAAACTAGTATCTCGATCACGAGCTCATATAAATATCGACTTCACATTTGATATTGTACTATTGAGTGATGATTATTACAATACCTCATCTTCCGCAAAGCCGTTAATCTCAACTGGAATCGTCTGGCCATCTTCGGTGACGACCTGGTATAATTACAATAAGAATAATGTTAAAATAGGCACATAGATATAATTAAGATAAACAAATGGTAAGATTGTGTAATAAAATATTATTAATAATATATTCAGCCGTGTTTGTGTCCAAGAAAAAGTGTCGGTGTAGTCTCCCGTGAGAGTAATTTTTTTAGGGTTAAAATGTTCATGTCGATATGTTGCGTTGTTTCGACGTGAAAGGAGAATAAAAAAAAACATTTTCCATATTTATATTTTATATGAATAGTTATGGATTTTAATTTTATGTACTAGATCGTCTGCTGAAAGTCCAATCTAGTTTTTCTTCAGAACGAATGAAGCGTTATATATTCCCGGTAGCAACCTTATAGTTACTACCGGGAATATATAACGTTATATAGCAAAAGTTGCCATGGCAACCGTTTTTATTTGATGCGTCGGTATTATCTATGCGACGATAGATAAGAAATTATTTCTGGATAGGTTTAGATTAAACCTATGCTTAGTGAGCGCCGACGATGCAGGTTTGTTCAGTCATGTAAAAATTAAAGTCGCCCCGATTATTTCGGAGATCTGGTGATAAATGAATATGTGGTTTATTGGCTTATATTGTAATTCTTGACGAGCATACTTACAAAGAGTCTTGCGGTTACTACCTAACTAATTTACTAACTGACCTGCAAAGTTTTGCCGTCAGACGATGTGATGGCGAGTCGCGTGCCGTCCTGCATTGTGAAATGTAGAGGGTTGCCTTGCTCGTCTGTGACCTGCCAAACAAACCATTCCCAATCAGTTCCCGCCACAGCGCAGCCCTGGCTGTGAGCGACGAGCCCGCCGCAGCTTCTCTAGTGTTACTTTGTTATTGCTATCGAAGAACTAACGGTGTAGGGCACAGCCGATCTGTGTGCTTAGTGCGGCTTTCTTAACATTCTCGATAGCGTAAAAGTTAAGTTTCTCGACGAGCGAATTAGCCCATGGACACAGCCCACTGAGTTTCTCGCCGGATCTTCTCAGTGGGTCGCGTTTCCGATCCGGTGGTAGATTTTGCGAAGCACTGCTCTTGCTAGGGTCAGTGTTAGCAACTCTCCGGTTTGAGCCCCGTGAGCTCACCACCTGCAAACGTTAGGGTGAAGCTGAAATAGCCTCTCAAGGCTATCAGCACAGGTAGGGAAAAAAAAAGTTAAGCCAATTTTGTATGCAGTTGAACAGCGCCCCTAGCGGCAAACGTACGCAAACAATCCCATTCCATACAAATATGAGCTAACTTTTACGCTATCGAGAACGTTAAAAAACTCGCACTAAGCACATTGGTCACTGTCGCTAATTATTGGTTACATTTGATAATGAGCTTTATTACAAACGACATAAAGATGAATATTAATTACTATATAATTATGTTGGCACCCGTGCTAGTTCAGGAGTATCAGTACTTTAGCACAGTTTAGGTCTGCACTTATTACTCAAATCGACTACAACCAATTAGTGATTGTAGTTCAAAGATTTCTTACTCGCTTAATTAACATTAATTTCCAAATCAAACTTTGGTACTTATAGAAGTATATTTTAAGCCGTACAAAGCATATAGGGTCAACGAACTCACGTTGCGCGACCACAAACGTTGAGCCCTAGCGTCGCATAATTTTTAATTTTGTGTGAAACCTCAATATAAATAGAAAATACTTTTTTTTATTGCTTAGATGGGTGGACGAGCTCACAGTCCACTTGGTGTTAAGTGGTTACTGGAGCCCATAGACATCTACAACGTAAATGCGCCACCCACCTTGAATAGGCCGCCTAATTCTGTTGAATCTTATGTTGATAGGGCTAAATATTTTAAAATGCAAACATTGAGTGATCGCCGCGATATGTTAGGCTTATGTTTTTTACATCAAATTATGAGCGGTACTGTCGACTCCCAATTCATCCTCAATAAATTCTCTTTGAAGGTGCCATCTAGGTTACCTCGTCGCCCCGTTGCTCTTTTCAGCACCCGCTTTAGCAGAACCAATCTAAGCAAGCACTCACCTACTCCTCGTCTAACTAACCTTTATAATAATCTAGTTAGAAAAGTTGAAAACCTTGACATATTTGGCGATTCCCTTCCAATATTTAATAACAAAATTATAAAAAGTTGTTGTTGAACCTCAGCCTCAGCCTTGGTCTGAGTACTCGGGTATTACTGCCCTTGTTGTCTTTCTTTTGTTTTGAATTTTTTTTTTTATTATTATTAATAGTATTGTTAAATCTCTATTAATATATTAATGTAATGCATGCTGTGATTGCCTATAATTAGAGTTGCAGTTATCAATTGCTCTATACATGTCAATGTTATTTTATGTTTTACTGTAAACCCTGTCGGTAATCCTTAAATAAATAAATAAATAAATATCTGACACCTATATTGAATACCTTCTCTAAATAGTAATTAAGTTTTGTTGGTATATAAATGAAATGCGTCGATGCACGGACATCGACGATCACGCGACGCGGAGTCGCGGTTCTACACCGTGCGCTGCGTCGCTTTTTATTTACTCCTTTTTTAAATTAAACAAACACCTATCGTGTTACAGTCCACTCTTTTATTTTATACTAGTTGACACGGCAGACTTCGTAGTGCCTTAATTGTTAAATAAAATACCTAAACTTTTGTATAAAATAAACTTAAAACAAATAAAAGGAATACGTCCGACGGGGGACACATCACAGGAAAGAAAATATGTTATTTTTCTTTTATTCCGAACATTTTCATATTTATCTACCTTTTAAACCTTCTCTGGACTTCCACAAATAATTCAAGACCAAATTTAGCTAATTCGGTCCAGCCGTTGTCGAGTTTTAGCGAGACTAACGAACAGCAATTCATTTTTATATATTTAGAAGAAAAAGATAGAAGATAGAAGAAGAAGACATCATCGGTCTTTCCTAGAGCCGTCAGAGCAAAGGATCATTACAGTATCCGAGTAGTAAGAGAGCGACAGTAGGAGGCACAGACCGGCACGGGGTCGGCGCGTGACGTCAGCAGCGACTCCTCGGAGTACAGCGTCGACACCACTTTGCTCTCGTCCAGACTCTCTGCCTGCACACAATCATAAGTAAATAATAATTTAAAAAAACAATAAAATTGTTTTGAACAGTCCTGTCACGTAACAACGGTTTCAACGTGCGAAAGAGATAGCGCTCTATAAAACCAAAATTAGCCGATTGTCTCTTTCCAAAATCGATGTGCAATAGTTATTGTCGTGTCCTGCATCTTTTTTATTTTATTGCTTAGATGGGTGGACCAGCTCACAGCCCACCTGGTGTTAAGTGGTTACTGGAGCCCATAGACATGTACAACGTAAAGGCGCCACCCACCTTGAGATATAAGTTCTAAGGTCTCAGTATAGTTACAACGGCTGCCCCATCTTTCAAACCGAAACGCATTACTGCTTCACGGCAGAAATAGGCGGGGCGGTGGTACCTACCCGTGCCGACTCACAAGAGCTCCTACCACCAGTAAAAAATAAGTATCTCTCGGTACATTAGCTAAATTTTGATCTGGTTAGAAGAGAAGCCACCTGCTCCGGGTCCAGTATGTGGAAGGAGGGCGAGTCGGCGTCGTCCACGTCGTAGGCCACGTACACGACCCGCTCCTGCTCCTCGCGCTGCTGTACCTCTACGGGCTGGTTCGCGCTCGTCAGCAAACTTATTTGCTTGTGCACGTGCTATGGAAATATTTCAATTATAATAATTATTGTATTCTTTTCGAAACTACTTTTCTCAAATTTGATATGTAGCAGCAATCTTTGATAATTGTCCTGGGTTGTAAACGATTCAATTCATTTAAGCACATTTAAAATTGATGAAATTATAATTGTATTGTTTTTATATACTTAAATATAATTCTGTCAATGTAAACAAAATCAGTTTTTAAATATATATATTTTTTCGGGATAAATTTAGCCATGACTTGAAAAGTCCGAGGTCAGAGCAATACCACATACACACAACACTACATATGATCATCATCATCATCATTATTTCCTATTATCCTCTGCTGGGGTGTAGGGCTCGAATCCAATCTTTCCTTTACATCGGTCTTGGGCAGTTTGTTATCCTCCCACGTCATGCCCTAGCGCTCCTGCTCCACCGAGCGACGCCAAGTTGTTCTGGAGTGGCCTCTCTTCCTTTTGGCAGATACTTTCCAGGTTAGTGCTCTTTTTGATAGGTATACCCAGGAATATCTCTTTGATACCCACCTACATATAATGCGATATGAAAAATGTTTCATACGTAATGAATTACCTTTCTGTGCTTGTTGAGGTTGGAGGCGTCGGCGAAGGCCCTGGGACAGTGGTGGCAGCGGAAGGGTCGCTCCCCGGTGTGCCGCCGCATGTGCTTGGTGAGCGCCCACCGCTCGCAGAACGTGCGCTCGCAGTGCGGGCACGAGTGCGCCGCGCCGCCCGCCATGCGACGCTCGTGCGCCGCCCGGCTCGCGCCCGACACGAACCTAGCAGCACACAAGCGGGTACAGTGCCGGCCGCGCCCACGCGTGTCGTGATGCATTGAGAATAATATTAAAGTTTCAACAACATAAGCTCTGCTGAATGTGGGAGTACTGACAATTGTCTTAAAATATTCCAAAAATGTTATATTAAATTAATTCAAAAAAAATACCGTTTAGGACATGAAGAACAGGCAAATGGCGTCCCTGCGTTATGTCTCTGGACGTGAAGTCTGTGCTGTGAGGACGTGGTGAACCTCCTCGGGCAGAGGGCGCACTTGAAGGGCTTCTCTCCGGTGTGGATGCGCTCGTGTTCCGACAGGTTGCCCTTCTGAGTGAAACTTTTGCCGCACGTGTTGCAAGTGAACGGTTTCAGACCTGATAGTGCAATATTGTTCAAAATAATTATTAGGTTAGGTTCAAGATTCAAAACGCATCATGAATAGGATAGAGAGGAGTGTCCGAGGACTCATTAAGACCTCTTGTGTACTCGTATCAAAATAATACGATTATACCTTAGAACATATATGACATATCAATAGGACATATTTTTTCATCATTTAATAAAGTTACACTTGTAAAATAAATAGAAGTTAGGCTGTAGTGCAATCTTAGGTTTATGCTACTATACTGATATATTTCTGCATTGAAGCACTCATGTGTTATGATTTGGGGCATAGGTCAGCCTAGAGTACAAGACGATAACGATGCATACATAGTTGACTACATTTAAATGTATAGTCAAGGTTAGTCAAGTGCTTTCGTATTGTATGTGTTGAATTAAATCAATTACTGAGGCATGTATTCTGTCAATATTGTTAGCTATTGGATAAATTTACGACCTAACAACACTATCTTGATGTTATTACTTTATCAAATAGATATTAAATTATGAGATCCAAATAATTGACAAATTGACCATGATGTTAATTTCTATAGTCAGGCAGTACTCTATGTGGAAGGCCATGACCTCTCTGTGTCACATTACTATTCTCTGAATGTCTACTGTTAGATGTTGACTGTCAGGAGAGCCCTTGAAATATCTATCTAAACCCATGAGCAACAGACCAGTGTGTCGCCTGAGATGCAGCGTAAGACTTGTCTTGTGAGCAAATTTCTGTTTACAAATCTCGCAGGCATATTTCTTGACGCCGGTGTGAAGTATTTGATGGTTGACTAGGTTGGCTTTCGTTTTGAACGCAGTGTTGCAAACCTAAAATATAATATGTCATTCATTATTTTATTATTTAATTAAATTTAATATTTCCAGTCTTATTTTTTTATTCATTACCATTGAAAAAAACCATTTCATTACCTATGTATATCTTAAATAAATTGAATAAAAGTCTGGAGCAACATTTCTGTGTCCTCAATATTAACTCAATATGACAAGAATATTTAAATATTAAATTCGTAATTATGCCATTATACATACTACTATTATTTAGGTTTCAAAAACATATTATAAAACATGGTATTAATAAAGTCATGACTAATTTGTTATTTGTTATTTTTGCTTTTCGTACTTAAAAGAGTTTATATCTTAAAAATATTAATAACAATGTGGATCTTATTTTTTTTTACCAAAATTGTTGTTTACTCAGTACTGGTATAAATTTTGAAAGGACGTAGTTGTAAATTAATATAATAATAACATAAAGACAACTGACCTTACAAATAAACGGTCTGTTTTGCGTATGGACGAGCTGGTGTCTCTGAAGCAATTGTTTATGTTTGAAATTCTTCCCACACTTGCTGCAGACGTAGCGTTGACCGGCGTGCTCCGACTCCTTGTGGTACACCACCGACGACGGATGGTTCAGAACCTAATAGCACATTTGTTGACTTTATACTATGTTACAGTAAATGTACACTCTTGGGAAATGTACACTTTTACCGGTAAATGTGGATATTTGCCAAAAAGTTAGGTATATGTGAACTGAATATAATGTATATGTACATTTCTCGGCAAATGTGTACTCTTGCCTTCACCTTTTGGTAAATGTATTATACTCTTATCTTCATGTTTTAAGACAAGTTGCAATACAAATAAATTAATGTTGTTGCAGTAAAAAAATATTTATTAAAAATTTTTTTATATATTTATTTTATTTTATTTTATATATTTATATTTATGCTCATAATTACAAAAACGACATGGTCATTGTATATTCAATGTACATTTCCCTTTTTTGAAATTGTAAATATTTGTTGAATGCACATTACCCAAGCGAGGATTTTCCGGTAAATGTGCACATTTGCCGCAATATCTTTTTTTTTATTGCCCTTGTAGGCAGACGAGCATACGGCCCACCTGATGGTCAGTGGTTACCGTCGCCCATGGACTTCAGCAATGCCAGGGGTAGAGACAAGCTGCTGCCTACCGCATCTACTTTTACCGTAACATATACAAATATCTCATCTCAATATCCACCCGAGCGTCCAGAATTTTTGCGTTACGCTTCGCGGTAATGTTTAAGCAGTCGTATAGTTAGAGGTACCTTCCCGCAGAGGTCGCAGGCGTACCGCGCGGCGGAGTGTCGGCGGTGCGTGGCGGCGTGCAGCGCCAGCGAGCGCGGGTAGGCGAACCGCGCGCTGCACTCCCCGCACGCGTGCGCGCGCTCGCCGCGGTGCACCGCCTGCGTCATACACACCCATCACAGCCATACATTGCTGCCTGATATAAAGCATTTGTAGAGCGGTGTACATAGACTGGGTTATTTTTTTTTTTTTATTGCTTATATAAGTGGACGAGCTCACAGCCCACCTGATGTTAAGTGGTTACTAGAGCCCATAGATATCTACAACATAAATGCGCCACCCACCTTGAGACATAAGTTCTAAGGTCTCAAGTATAGTTACAACATTATCTATCACAAAATGTTCCTCAATAATAAAAACAATTTTTTGTGAAGTCGTCGTGACCTAAAGACGTCCCGGTGCATTCGTGCTGAGCGATACACCGGTGTTCGAATCCCAGGCCAGTACCAATTTTTCTAATGGAATACGTACTCAACAAATGTTCACGATTGACTTCCACGGTGAAGGAATAATAACATCACGTAATATAAAAATCAAACCCGCAAAATTATAATTTGCGTAATTACTAGTGGTAGGACCTCTTGTGAGTCCGCCCTATTCCTGCCGTGAAGCAGTAATGCGTTTCGGTTTGAAGGGTGGGGCAGCCGTTGTAACTATAGACCTTAGAACTTATATCTCAAGGTGGGTGGCGCATTTACGTTGTAGATGTCTATGGGCTCCAGTAACCACTTAACACCAGGTGGACTGTGAGCTCGTCCATTCATCTAAACAATAAATAAAACATCTGGTAATTTTTTTTAATAACCTCCCTTATATATTCCCTCTATTCTATAAATACTTAATTTGTTTGTTGCCTAAATTAAATTCCACTTTTTTTGATCGGAACTATATAGTGGCAGTAGCCATATATGTATTTGTGTGTTGATAAATATTATGTTCAGATTAAATTAAGAATTAAGATCGAAATGATCCTTCAGGCTTAGTGAATGTCTAACGTACCTATCTAGGACACTAAAATTGAACTAAAGGGTAATTAAGGGAGTTTGTAAGAATGATGGGGATATTACAATGGACAGATCATAAACACGTGTTTTGAATAATAAACAAACTATTCCGAACAAAATCCTCTACTGTAAGTTTAAGATAATTAAATTACTGTAATTTTATTCACCTTTATATGAACTGACTTGCTTTGTTTGCTACTGAAAAGCTTGTCGCAGTGATTACACTTGAGTTTCGGTTTCCCTTTTGAATTGAACTGTACCATGTCAGTGCTTTCATCTTCATCAGTCTTGAGCACTGTCTCTTTGTTTTCTGAAGAAATAAAAGAAGAATTGGTTACATTCTACATGACGCTAGCCATGTCTGGTTCAGAAAATAGCATGTCTCACACTGAGTTATTCTAGTATGAGTTCCTAGAGAAATGTCTTTATTTTTGGGATAGGAGTTGAATCTAGTAGAAGTTTGTTTATAGTTTTATTGAAAAATTTTGTGTGGATACAGACAACTAAGTTTTTTTTTTATCATTTCTTTAATAGCCATACACCTATTAGGTTAAGTCGGCTGACCACTAAGATTTTATCCAAAATCTCTGGTTATATAAATAGTTTTTGCCAACATTTATGTTCCACGTTAAGAATACTCTCGTCATAAATTGATAGCAACGAAGCGAAAAAAATTACAGTGTTATTAAAAAAATTATATTGTAACCAGCTGACCAAATCATTCTTCTATTTAAATTTCGAAAATGGATAGAATACTTTTATAATAATATAAAAAAATTATAATAATATTACTGGTGGTAGGACCTCTTGTGAGTCCGGACGGGTAGGTACCACCGCCTTGCCTATTTCTGCCGTGAAGCAGTAATGCGTTTCGGTTTGAAGGGTGGGGCAGCCGTTGTAACTATACTGAGACCTTAAAACTCATATCTCAAGGTGGGTGGCGCCTTTACGTTGTAGATGTCTATGGGCTCCAGTAAACACTTAACATCAGGTGGGCTGTGAGCTCGTCCACACATCTAAGCAATAAAAAAAATAAAAAAGAACCATTAGTGTCTTGGTCCTCAGTGGCATCGGCGCCGAGCGGATCGACCGGTTCCGTTTTCGGTACGTTGTCATTCACAATCTCTGCCTGCCCCGTGGTGGTGCCCGGTGGCTGCGGGTCGAGGTCCGGCAGCGCATCAGCGGCTGCTGCAGTGTCTTTCGCGATGTTTTCAATCGATACGATTCCCATTTGATTTGAAGTCTCCAATTTTTCTTGAGCTTCGGCCTGAAAGTTATTTATTTATTTATTAAGTTGCACCAATAAAGTGATCATCAATACAAAACATTGACAAACTGACAAAAGTTATAAAATATGTGAAAGGGGAATGCCCCTTTCAGGCCCAAAGTGGACAATAGATTAGAGAAAAAATACTCAGTGCATTAATTTTGGAATAAATAAATATGCATTTACTTTCTTCCACATGAGCGCCACTACAGTTTACCATAAGTGGTTAAAAAAAAGTAACTCTATTGAAAAAACAAGTTTTTTGATTTTTGCAGGAAAAATATTGCCAGCATCAAAGCCTTTAATGTATTAAGTAAATATTTTTTTAATTAAATAAATAAAACATTTTAAGTATTATCTTTAATCAATAGATTTTAATCGATTATAAGCACATAAAATAACATCAAAGCCATACTCGTTGGACTTTAGTGGTTTTTTGGTTACTTTGTTATTTTATTGTTGTTATTTGAATACAACAAAAACCAATAAATAAAATATATTGTGAACTCGTAAAAAAAAAGATTAAGAAAAATCAATCAATTATCGGTTATTGTAAAAAAATAATCAATAAATCGATTTAATGTAATTATATTATATTATACTGATAACACTGAATTTAATTTGACTGACTGACACTTCGCTTGCCGCTTGTGCTTACGTTCAAAATGGATGTGTTTTGATTTTTCTTCGATTTATTTTACTGCCTTTTTTTATGAATTTTATCCTCCCTTCAACGACGACTTTGGCCCAGGAGTTGAGGATCACAGCTACATTCGATTATGGATACCGATCAATAACGTTTCACTTATTTATATAGAAAATTAACCTCAAAACGGTGTTTTATTTTATTTTTATAATAGTGGCGTCAATTTCAATATATTTTTTAGATATCCAATACATTTAAGAATTTGAAGCAGTCCATTTTTATAGTAATATTTGCTATCTATTTTTGGGCCCAGCATACTATGGAGAGTGGGCATTCCCCTTTACATTTAAAAATATATTGTGTAACGAAGGCAAAATCGTTTGGTTACAGTACTTTACTGCTCTCGTTCCATTTTGAAAACAGTTCCCTTACGCCCTCTATGATTCACATAATCACAGCAAGGTTCAGTTCGCAGGCCCAGAGGCGGCCGGTGGGAGACAGTTACCAGTTGTCGCGCGGTGCAGGGGATGACGCGCTGTCCGGCGTGCGCGTGGTCGCGCTGGTGCTGCGTGAAGGTGAGGCGGTTGGGCAGCGCCAGCAGGCAGGCGGCGCACTGGTACAGCACGGGCCCGTGCGCCGCCACGTGCGACATGTAGCGCCCCACGCACGAGTACGACGCGCCGCAGATGGCGCACTGCTCCTGCTTGGGCCGGAGCCGACCTGGCGCAACCAAACCGACACGTCACCACACTCACCGCTCACGACTGCTGTTAGTTCACGATTGACTTCCACGGTGAAGGAATAACATCGTGTAATCAAAATCAAATCCGCAAAACTATAATTTGCGTAATCACCGGTGGTAGGACTACTTGTGAGGTCCGCACGGGTAGGTGCCACCGCCCTGCTTATTTCTGCCGTGAAGCAGTAATGCGTTTCGGTCTGAAGGATGGGGCAGCCGTTGTAACTATACTGGGATCTTAGAACTTATATCTCAAGACGGGTGGCGCATTCACGTTGTAGATGTCTATGGGCTCCAGTAACCACGTAACACTAGGTGGGCTGTGAGATCGTCCACCCATCTAAGCAACAAAAAAAAATTCTTTTACCTACTTGATGATTGATTAGTGAAGACATTTTATTTTACAAATGATGATAATAGGGCTATCTTATACTTCAGAGCGAATTGGATTGTATAGCATAGCAGCTTTACTGTTAAACCATAAAGTCACTGCTTCACAGCTATAATAATAAAATTAGTAGTATTTTCGTGTGAATTCGTGTGGTTTTAGTAATATGGAAATATGATTCCTTGTGAAAATGTACAATCTATACACTCATTTGGTATATGTTTCTCTAATGTAATAAGCATTACACACAAAGTATTTTTTTGCTTCTTTATATATTCTGTGTAATAAATATATCCTTAAATTCACTAAACTGGATGAATAAGAAAAATCTACATATTTTACAGTATTGTATCTATAAAAATGAATTGCTGTTCATTAGTCTCGCTAAAACACAAGAACGGCTGGACCGATTTGGCTAATTTCGGTCTTGAATTATTTGTGGAAGTCCAGAGAAGGTTTAAAAGGTAGATAAATATGAAAATGCTCAGAATTAAATAAAAATAACAATTTTGGTTTTCCTTTGATGTGTCCTCCTTTGGACGGATTCCTTTTGTTTGTTTTAAGTTTATTTAATACAAAAGTTTAGGTCTTTTATTTATCGATTGAGGCACTACGAAGTCTACCGGGTCAGCTAGTTATTGTAAGGAATGATTCTCACCTTTAGGTCTACCACGTCCCTTGCCTTTCACAACGACAACTAGTTCACCGGAGTCCTCTCTATGTCCGATCACTTCTTCTTCATGAGAAGTAGACTTAGAGTCCATGACTACTTCACTCTTTATATCTCCATCCAATTCATCATCTATGACACCTTCCTCTTTGAAAATTTTTTCTAGTTCCTTACCCTGTTCAAATGAAAATAAAAAAGTAAATTAATGTCATGAACTACCAAAAAGGTAGAATATAACTGTCTAGTAATATCTATATATTAATACGTGAAGCAAAAACTTTGTACCCCTTTTTACGAAAAGTGCGCGGACGGAGGAGTAAGAAATTTCCCAAACTTATACAAAATATAAAGAAGGAATGCAGAATGCTAATATCTTTTAAAAAATTTGCATAAAAATACATTAAATCAATAAATAAACCATTACACGCACTACCGTGTATTTCACACGTACACACATTTTTGTTTATTGTTAAAGTCTGTGGTCAAATTGAGATAAGATTAATATTGTTTGCCTTTATTAATATTTGTCTATAGTGTAGCCTTGGCGATATGCGATTATAGAAGTATGTAAGGTTTTTGACAATAGAACCATAATAATGTTCAATGTCGATTACTAGTTATGGGAATAGTTCTTGTTTGTAATAACGATTCAAACCTGATAAATGGCTGTTTTATGGGGATAGTAAGATACTTAGCCATACTCAAAACATACCATAAAATCAGTGTGAATCATGACTTCAAACACTTAACAATAAATAATACAACGTACCTGCACAACTTCCTTAAAACGAGTGGGGGTCTTTCTCCTTCTTTTACCATTAAGTTCCTCCTCCTTTTCATTTCGCTTCTTAGCTTTCAGTTGCTCTTCTCTTGCTGCAGCTTCTTGGATCAATTCTTCAGGTGTTTTCTGCTTTTTCGGTGGACGGCCACGTTTACGCTTTGGCTTCTCCAGGCCAGCCACTTGAAGAGCTACTATGTGATCATCTTGGTAGACCCCATCTGTTGTGTTTACTAAGTAATGAAAAATATATGCGTCTTAAATTATGAAGATAAACACTAAGATTATATATATATGTATATATTTTTTTTATTGCCTTTGTAGGCAGACGAGCACACGGCCCACCTGATGGTGAGTGGTTACCGTCGCCCATGGACTTCAGCAATGCCAGGGGCAGAGCCAAGCCGCTGCCTACCGCTTAATATGATACCGATTATATTTCATTCAAGTTCAGTAAGTATCTCCTTTAAGCTTTATTTCACAAGTACAGAAAACAGGAAAAATTACACTCTAACCCTTTTTTATTTGTATTGCTTAGGTGGGTGGACAAGCTCATGGCCCACTTGACGTTAAGTGGTTACCCGAGCCCATAGACATGTACAATGTAAATGTCGCTACTACCTTGAGATAATAGTTCTAATGTCTCCGTTTTTACAGTACAACAGCTGCCCCACTCTTCAAACCGCAACGCATTATTGCTTCATGGCGGAAATAGGCAGGGTGATGGTAGCCTTCTGTGCGGACTCACAAGACGTCCTACCACCAGTAAATCCTACCCATACCTGAACCTACCGATAATAGTCAAGATCACTAACCACTACACCAATGAAGTAATTAAGATAGAACAGTGCAAATATCTTTGACACCTATAAGTTCATACTACTATGATTTTTATTATATTTATAAATAAAATATATGTTTATTAAATATTTAAAAAAAAATATATATTAGTGTCCTCAAGTTATCATACTAATGATTTGGTGGTTGACTAATTTCAGTAGTTGATTAATTTACCGAAATCCTATGAAAGGCTTAGTGAAGAATTCGATTATGTCATTATGATGAGAAGTAATTTGCATTTGTTATTGACATTCTAAAATATAATCAAAAAAATTTTTCACGGACAATGATATTCTGCAGCTTTGCTTTTTTTGGAATTTTCCCTTTGTTTTTGTTGATTGATTACAGCCTTAAAAATCACTAAACATATCAATCTCATAAAGATTCAACAATGTTAGGCAGCATTCATAAATAATGTAATAATTTAACACTATCTACCAAATTCACTTACTCCTTGAATAGAAAAATGTTTCAATAATATGTATTTGACAAGGAAAACAAAAGATAACAACTAAGACTCATACTACCATGACTATTGTTTTTTCAGGGCATAAGTCACATGTGGGTAGTGGCATTCACATATGATGTGAACGTCTATTCTATAGGGTTCAGTAATCACTTAATACTAGGTGGACTTTGAGCTCATTCACCTGTCCATAGAATAAATAAAACAAAACAAACATCATCATAGATACAATAGTATTCAGATATGAAATTGTAAGCTTGACCAATACTGGATTGATAGCACCTAGTTTAATAAAGTAAAAAGAAAAAATATGAAATTGGATGGAATTAAAAGTGAAGTTAATTACCTTCATACACAATATCCTCAGTTATAACTTCTTCTGTAGACTTGAGAGTTGATTTCTTATATTCAATCTCTCTTTGATGCAGTTCTCGAAGTGTTTTCTGAAATTACAATAACCTAGTTGACATTGGAAAACATTTTCTGAGTGCATTCAAACATAAAATGTGATTAAAATGATTAACAAGATCTAAGTTTTTGCAGTTCAAAGGGAATAAAAACTGTTGAGATTAGTTATTTGAGCAACAAACCCCTTCTTGTCGAAAACAGGTTCCTCTCCCATACACGCAGAACATAAGAATGTTAAAGAACTGCCCATATTATTGTTAATTGTTAAAGCTTTTTTTAGTTTTCAGTGTTAATTTTTTATTTCATTTTATTACCTGTCCTTTTATAATCAGATTCAAGAATTCTACGGTGGCTTCCAGCTGTATAGTGCATCCAGGACAAATTGTACGTGGTAGTTGACCATCATCGGACACCTATATTAAAACAACAAAATACATTTTATTTTCGATTTTCACGTAAATTAAATCTGGCGCGACTTCATTTTGTGTGACAATGTGGATTAGTTGTTGTTCGCCATAACATTCATCAAGATGATCATTCGCCGTCAATGGATGAAAACTATTTGCAAATTAAATCGAATAAATGTTATGGTTTTTTAAAAATACTTTCGAGTTTAAAATGTTCATTAATTTTTGTACACTTTTAATATAGTAGCTAAATCGAAGGTCAGCTATTTTACTTTGACACTAGGTCAATACAATTTAAGAGTAAATGCAATTACCTTTATCGGTAAATACGTGTTAACAATTTCACTCAAGCTTGTATTATTATCTTCAAGTACATATAACACGGTGCCGTTATCATTTTCTTCACCACATAATCTACAAACAGTCGAATTATAAAGAAAAACTTCCATAGTTTCCTTTGGAATGGGTGGAACTGCGCCATCTATATCCGATCCATCAACTTCAAGCGATTTCAACTTTCCATTTACCTACCAATAATTTTCGAGTGTCAAGTTAGAAGTTGGCCTATGTCAAAGTCAGTGAATTGCGCGATCAAATATTTTTTAGCATTAATTAACGCCTTTGAAAATAGTATATCCATTTAGGAATCTTTTGATGTACCTAATGCTAAAATATATTTTTTATATTTACCACGTACTAACATACTGTCTACAACGCCTTCAGTGCTTAATCTGAGAATTCGTTGAATAAGACGAATAAATCAAACAACTGAGATTGTGGAAAACACAATTTAGCGTTTTTGGTGAATTTGTCTACTTAATTACCGGTAGCCTCGAGGGTTATTCTGCGTCTTGATATGATACGTGGCAATTTTACGGGTCTGAGCCTGAGAAAACTTGCTAACATGCGTTAGTTTATTAAGGTTGAAGCTGTGGGTTAAATAGCAAGTCGAACTCTTTCGCATTCAACGAGTTCNAACTGAGATTGTGGAAAACACAATTTAGCGTTTTTGGTGAATTTGTCTACTTAATTACCGGTAGCCTCGAGGGTTATTCTGCGTCTTGATATGATACGTGGCAATTTTACGGGTCTGAGCCTGAGAAAACTTGCTAACATGCGTTAGTTTATTAAGGTTGAAGCTGTGGGTTAAATAGCAAGTCGAACTCTTTCGCATTCAACGAGTTCGACAAGAACCGCGACTGATACTTAGAATGCTTAGAAGTAGGTACTGAGAATGGTTCCAAAATGCCGAGTATTGCCGAGCTTATCGTTAGTATTTCCCTGTCGTCTGGTTCGGGTATATAATTTCATTCAAGCAATCACGATTTGATAGTTTTCGTATTGCGCCGCTTTCTCGAAGCGTTCTGACGCTGTCTTCATAAACAGTCAGCGGCACGGAATATGGCCCAAGCCTAAGCAGACCGATAACGGGCGATTTTTGTATCGCGTATGAGAATTTCGAGTGGCAGTTTATTATAACCATTTTTTTTGTTAATTTTGAGAGTAAGCACTTAAGTAAGCACTGTCCATTTGTTTCATTTCTGTGACACTTGACGTTAGTTCGTTAGTGAAACGCACAAAAGACGGGTCAGTTAAAATTCGATATTCCAATAGTCTTGCATTTAATCTTTAATGTATAATTTTTTTATTAATCGGTAGTAATTTATGCTTCTAGAATTGTAGAACAATGACCCTAACACCTGCTCAAGTTGTTCAGGCTGTGTTACTTCGAAATCAGGGGCGAACGCAGTGAGAAATTGCTGAAACTTTAAATGTACCGCGTACAACTCTCAGGTACGCCGTAACAAGGTACGACCAGACCGGTATGTACACAAGGAGACCAGGTAGTGGTGGTATTAGGTGTACATCAGTGCGAGATGACCGATTTATCACTCTCGCAATTTTGTGAAATCGGTTCCTTACTGCAGTCGAAATTCGGCAGCGGCTACAAATTTAAAGAGGAATCAACATAAGTGAGCGAACAATAAGAAGGAGAATGGAGGAACGAAATCTGCGTGTTCGAAGACCAACTCGTGGTCCAGAATTGCTCCGACACCATCGCGTATCTCGACTACGGTTCGCTCGTGAACACGCGCAGTGGACTCACGAGCAGTGGAGTAAAGTTCTGTGGACTGACGAATGCCGAGTAGTCTTAAGAGCTCCAGACGAACGCGAACGTGTGTGGAGAAGTCATGGGGAGAGGTTTCTGCCAATCACTACCAGGCAAACCGTCAGTTTCCACGGTGGGTCCGTTATGGTTTGGGGAGGTATCGCACACACGCACAGAGTTGGTAGTTGTTGAAGGTCGTCTAACAGCAGTGCGATACATTGAAGGGATCCTTCAGGAACATGTTTTACTTACCATTCGTGGGATTCATCGGGGGCGAAGATTTCATCCTCATGCAAGATAATGCCCGACCTCACACAGCACGTTGCGTCGATGATTACCTGTCGGAGGTGAGCATCAGAAAATTTGAGTGGCCAGCACGAAGTCCAGACATGAATCCCATAAAACATGTCTCGGATATACTTAAAAGGCGAATTCGATCCAGTCCCAACCCTCCAGAGACCATCAGTCAGTTGAAAACCGGCCGTAGTGGCCGCCTGGGAAGAAATACCCCAGTAAACATTATCCATAGCATGCCTGATCGTATGCAGGCGGTTATCAGGGCCAGAGGTGGAAATACCCGTTATTAATTTTAAGTAACATACCCTAATTTTGTAAAAAAAAATCAAAAGATTTTTTAAACATAGAGCTGTAATGACCTTTTTGTAATTAACACAAATTTTAACAAATTTAACTAGCTTTTAGTTAATTAATCACTTGCATTTAAGTTCCAAATAAAGATTTAATTTTTACCACAAAAAAAGAACCTTGTCTCGCGTTTCATTTTGATAATAATTACAGCATTAGAGCGCATTATGCGGCTTATTGCTCAACGTTGAATGTTCCAATTACAGCAACGCTTAGCACAATCGAGCACTTTCAAAAGTACTGTTCTCGCGTGATACTCGCAGTCGATACCAACTCAGTAACAGACCTCAGTAAACTGTAAACCTTTATTGCTGAAAAAATTTGTAAGGCTTTCGTTTCGTCGTAGTTTCTTGGAAATAATCAAAGTTAATTCAAACTGTGCTAAAAAATAAATATAAGTATGGATGAAGGTATAAATAATTACATTTTTTTTATATTCCACATTTAAAATGTGAATACAATTTCATTTTAGAATTAGAATCTGTAAACAAATTTATTTTACAATAATACACTTTTGTAAACATTGCAATGGCTTGATCGAATCATCATCATGAACTTAGCGCACTCTGCTGATGCATTTGAAAACTAATTCACGTTCCTTAAGCTTCAGCATATTTCGGCATTGTGTGCCACTGAGTCGCATTATGCATTATGCTCTGTAATTGGAAAACTACCAATAAACCTAAATCAGTAGGTAATATTTAAATCGTCCAGATTGTGCATCAAATTGTAACAACTTTTGTAAGTAGGATTTTTCAGTCTACTTAGGAGCCCATAGTCTTTTTTTTCCTACCTAAGCTGATAGCCTTGAGAGGCTATTTCAGCGGACTTTAGAATGGTACACAATTTAACTTTTTAGTTTACTGTGAGCTTTGTCGATAGATTACTATGTTACACAACCATAGATTACAAACAATATTCGACAGTCTTGTTTCATTGCTTTCTTTCACATGTCAAATGTCCTTTCCGGTTTAGTTGTTGAGGCGAGAAGCCGTTCTTTCGGTTTTTATTATTTTTAATCGCCTCCAATCCATCAAAATGAAGATCTATAAGGACATTATCACTGGTAATCATATTTTCTACGAAATGCTGCTTTTAATTTTGGTAATATTTTGTGATTTCGTGTTTAAAATAAATAATATTGATAACTGATGATTTTGACATTTGACTAGACTTATTAATTTCAGAAACCTAACTAATTTGCCACATCGACATGAGATCCTCTAAATTATCAAAAGTGAAAATTAAAAGTACGGTTTTCTCATTTCAGGTGATGAGATGTTCTCTGACACCTACAAAATGAAATTGGTCGATGAAGTTATTTACGAAGTGACCGGTAGGTTGGTGACGAGAGCACAGGGTGATATCCAGATCGAGGGTTTTAATCCTTCGGCTGAAGAGGCTGACGAGGGCACGGACTCGGCCGTCGAGAGCGGAGTTGACATAGTCCTGAACCACAGGCTAGTCGAAACATACGCCTTCGGTGACAAGAAATCCTACACATTGTACCTCAAAGACTATATGAAAAAGTGAGTGCTGTGTATATTTTATACTTAAAAACGTATTAAATTCGTTGTGCACACTGCGTTTCATGTAAAAAGAGTTTATAAGGAGTGAAAACCTTGTAAAGATTCAATGAATTTAAGGTCACGCAGACGACGCCTGGCTTACGACTTTTCAAAGTTACTGCATGGTTATGACTCAGCTCATCATCAATAATGCTTGATGACAATACTAATAACATCCTACATAACAGCTTACAAATTATTCATTGTGGTAATGAAAATAATTGAATGTGTAATATACATGACAATGACATTGAAATCAACTTATCATTGAAGATTAGATACTTATGAGGCTGATGTTTGCTGATGTTTGCTCCGTTTACGGATTTTCAATTTGTATCTTAAAGCACATATTGGTTTAGTTTATGGCTAGTTATGTTTGCAAAAAGCCTAGTGGTGATTGTAAATCAACAAGGTGATTATATTTTACACTGACGTTTGAAAATCATTCAAACCATTGTGATTAAGTATAGTTCATTCAAATGGCTTGGTTATAAAATAATATTAAAGGGTTTTAAAACTTTGATACTTGAACTTGAACTTGATACTTGAACTTTGAAAAACACAACAAAGGTCATTAGTTCTGGATTTTTAGACGATGAGAAATGTATTTCAATATTCATAAATATTTTATTATTCAATTTATTTATGTTACTATTTTACCCCTACAGTAAGTCACTAAGTATAGGTAGGTCTAAGAAAATCGTGAAAGTAAATTTTTGTGAGGTTATTTTTTATGATTGTTGATAATTAAAAAAATAGTAACTATTTAGATACTAAATTAAAAATAGTTATTACTACACAATTATTTTAGTGCGGCTTATATATAAAGTTAAGTGTAAAAAAAGGGATCTTGTCTGTGTTTCCTTTTGAGTATTTGAAAAAGAATGGAAGAAATATTAACTGCCTTATATAAACAGTAGCTTTGTATTACATGTATACCTATATTTGCAAATATAAGTTTTTTCATTTTCACAAGACAATTTAGTGCAAATTTATTTTTAAATTCATTATGGTGAAAAAATGCTAAAAGGCAGTAATAATAGTAAATCCCCACATTTATCTTTTAAGTCTGTCCAAAAGCTAAAGGGCATCAACCATGCCAGGCAGGCAGAGACAAAGGTTGGATTATTTGATGTGCATGCTTAATATAATAGCATCATCTAATACCAAAAGTGAAATTTTCAATGTTCACTTATGGAGCTTTTGATGCAAAAGTAATAGAACCCTAATGAAAAAACATTCATTTTTATAATGTTTGTTCATGAAATAGAGATGACAAATAACTATTTACTGGTGTCAATATTTTTAGATTCTATTTTTACAACTTAATGATGTAATTTTTTTATTATTTCAGATTAGTAGCAAAATTGGAAGAGAAGGCGCCTGACCAAGTTGAAGTATTTAAAACAAACATGAACAAAGTAATGAAAGACATCCTCGGCAGGTTTAAGGAACTTCAGTTCTTTACTGGGGAGTCTATGGATTGTGATGGCATGGTTGCCATGATGGAATATAGAGACTTTGATGGTACGCAAATACCAATCATGATGTTTTTCAAACATGGTCTAGAAGAAGAGAAATTCTAAATGTTAGATAAGAAATAACTCAATAATTCCAAACTGGCGCCTTGATACTTTTGTTTTTTTATTTATTTATCAATCATGTCCGCATCCTGGNCTGGGGAGTCTATGGATTGTGATGGCATGGTTGCCATGATGGAATATAGAGACTTTGATGGTACGCAAATACCAATCATGATGTTTTTCAAACATGGTCTAGAAGAAGAGAAATTCTAAATGTTAGATAAGAAATAACTCAATAATTCCAAACTGGCGCCTTGATACTTTTGTTTTTTTATTTATTTATCAATCATGTCTGCATCCTGGCAGGAACTGGCTTCTCTCATCACAAGGCTGAACAATTTTGTATTTAAAAAAATATACTGCATACAACAATAAAATAATTAACGTCATATAAATTTGTTTTTTGTTTGTTTTATCAAACATATGCTGGAAAATATGAATATTTTTCTTCATCTACTTCTGGTTAGATAGGCCTCTCAAGTGATCAGGTGATCTTATGTCGTCCTTTTCTTGGTAAGCTCGCCTCCTCTCCGTTCCTCTAGCTTACTTCCCTAGCTTGGTGAACATAAATGTCACATATAATATTATGTTCTACTACCTTATCGCTTCTGTTATATTTTATACCAGGTGGGCATGACATAAGACAATGCATGTTTGTGGTTTGGCCTTGTTTTTCGAGCAGTTGAGAAAGTACTATTAAGTGACTGTTCTGATACCATGACCATTAATGCTGGCGTTCCACAAGGTTCGGTGCTCTCCACACTTTTCATCGAATTTTGAATCGTCGATAATCCCATTCTCACGGATCGTTTGGAACCTCTGGGTCTGCGGAGGGACTTCGGTTCCCTCTGTATTTTGTAGCGTATGTTCCATGGGGAGTGCTCTGAGGAATTGTTTGAGATAATCCCCTGATATCCTTTTTATCATCGCACCTCCCGCCTCCTGGAACCGCTGCGTTCATCGACAGTGCGTTTCCAGAGGTCTTTTTTGCCACGTAACATCCGGCTATGGAATGAGCTCCCCTCCACGGTGTTTCCTGAGCGCTATGACGTGTCCTTTAAGAGGCTTTTGGAGAGTATTAAGCGGTAGGCAGCGGCTTGGCTCTGCCCCTGGCATTGTTGAAGTCCATGGGCGACGGTAACCACTCACCATCAGGTGGGCCGTACGCTCATCTGCCTACAAGGGCAATAAAAAAAAAACTAGAAATTCATTTAAGTAATAACATTAAAAATTATATTGGTGGACTTGTCATATATTACAGGGCTAGGTAGCCGTTGATTTATCGAGGGTTGAACTAAGTAGGTGCTATCTTAGTACTTACATAAAAAGGGAGCTAATTAAGGTGTCGCCATAGTAGCAAGTGGAAAGATTTAAAAAACAACACCAATTACCACACTTCGTCTGTTTTCTTAATGCACTGCCAGCTTCTTTTTTTTTTTTTTTTTTTCCTGCCTAAGCTGAGCCTTGAGAGGCTATTTCAGCGTAACCCTAACGTTTGTAGGTGAGCTCACGGGGCTCAAACCTGATGACGTTGCTAACACGAACCCTAGCAAGAGCCGTGCTTCGCAGAATCTACCACCGGATCGGAAACGCGACCCACTGAGAAGATCCGGCGAGAAACTCAGTGGGCAGACTGCCAGCACTGAAAGATGTGACGTCAATTTAATATACTGCGAAGTCGTTCCTTTACATTAGCTAAACTGGTTAAAACGGGACGCAGTACTGCAGTATATTGTCATTGACGGTTTTTAGCGTTGTTTTTACTTGAACAGAAAATTAAGTTTTAAATTTAGTTATATTTAAGAATTGAATATTCAAGTTATTATCAGTTTAATTGATCGCTTAATAAAAATTGTATATTTTATAGTAAATGAAAATATTGTTTTCAAACTATTTAATGCACAATAAACTTAACTTAAGAACTCTGTTATTAAAATAGGGATACCGTTAATGTGATAACGTGTTCGAAGTACTGAGAGCACCTAACTTCGAAAACACCAGTGTTCACAGTAGGAAAAATATGATGCCATATATTTCCCCAGGATTGTATACTGTCAGTCCTTAACTGAACGAATTTCTCCTCTTTTTTTTTAGTTAAACTTCTTTAGGCGCTTTGAGAGTAAATTTCAACTCGCGACTGATTTGTGACGGTTAGAGAGAAAAGATAAAATTTAGGAAAAGCGAGAGTGAGAAAATATACCGTCTCGGGAACCACTTGACCGTGGAGAGTGGGAAAGGACAAACTGAGTTAGGTCGTTTGCCTTATACACTGCATTCACTATTACAAGAGAAGTTTGATTTAAGAATGAAAAATGAACAAATCCACAATACTTTAAGTCGGGGTGGCCTAAAGGTTAAGGCGGAACTATTCAGTGGGTCGCGTTTCCAATCCGGTGGTAGATTCTGCGGAGCACTGCTCTTGCTGGGGTCAGTGTTAGCATCACTCCGGTTTGAGCCCCCTGAGCTCACCTACTAGTTAGGTTACGCTGAAATAGCCTCTGAAGGCTATCAGCTTAGGTAGGAATTGAAAAAAAAAACAATTACCAGTTTTTCTAATGAAAAACGTACTTGACAAATGTTGACGATTGATTTCCACGGTGAAGGAATAATATCGTGTAATAAAAAACCAAACTCGCAAAATTATAATTTGCGTAATTACTGGTGGTTGGATGTCTTGTGAGTCCGCATGGGTAGGTACTCCCAACCTGCCCATTTCTGCCGTGAAGTAGTTTTGTTTTTCGGTTGGAAGGGTGGGTCAGCCGTTGTAATGTAAAAACGGAGACCTTAGATCTTATATCTCAAGTTGGGTGGCACCATTTACGTTGTAGATGTCTTTGGGCTCCGGTAACCACTTAACACCAGGTGGGCCGCGAGCTCGTCCACCCATAGCAATAAAAAAACACCCAAAGCAATAAAAAGAAGAAAAAAAAATGCACCCTTTTTTTTCCTACTTTTGCTGGTAGTAGTTATATATACGTAGGGTATAGGGTAGTTATGTAGTTATATATACTATAAGACTTCTTAAAAGGATTAGGACGGGAAAAGAATCGAGAATTTCAATAAATGAAAAACAATTCAATTTGAGGTATGTTATATTATCGAGTTTGTATGAAGGTAATAACTACAATAAAGAACAGACATTATTTATTTTTCTCTATTACATCGTATTGAATAACTCTAATCACATTTTCATCATATGTATTCATATCCCTTGTATACATCGTTTAGGCATTCACCAGGCATAATGCCAATATTGCTTAGTCTTTGAATCTTATATACATTTTAAATTATATGAAAAGTATAAAGATTTAAGAAACCATAAGAGTGAAAGACGTCTCCATCCAATACGGTAAAGTATCTACACAATACCTTTATCTTATTAGTAAGTGCACACGATTTATTAAAGTATTCTCATTTTATGACGTTAGGAAAAAATATTGAAACCTACACAATCCTTTAATTCGAAATAAGGTTGTTGTCAAAACAATATCTGCTGTGCACTTTTTAGAGATTTTGAAAATTTGACTTTTACGACTAGTTTACTAATAACATTTTCGTATAGACTTCTATATGACTAAGCAATAGATTATTAAAATCTGTTTCATATATTTCACACACAATCAAAATCTTAAAGTATAGGTACTATTTAGGTATTTGCACATAGCAGAAGCTGCTTGACAACCACGATATGTCAAGTTTACTTTGATTTACAATTTCGGCATTTATTTGAAATGAGAGATCGAATAATATTTTTGTGAGTCTCTTTTGTTGTTAGTTGGGTAACTGCGATTAATTAATGATAATGTTTTATGAAATAAAATTAAAAGGTTTACTGAGTGAATAGCAATACTAAATTCCCATACCATATTTTTGGAGCTCGCATTTAATTTTGACTAGGTAAATTCTACTAGTCGAATTTAACTGTCACAGTTTGTTTTCGTGAATAAAATAATACTGTCTAAATAGTCGTAGTATTAATTTTACTTTATAAACAGATTGAAATATTGCAATGTAAAACTATTCTTCATATAATAATATATTATATAGGGACATTCCCTGGTTGAGCCCCCTAAAATGTTGGACTAAGAGCAGGAATAATTAAAAGAGATTTACTTGTAGGTAATGAGTGCTCTTGAAAAGTTTGAATAAAGTATAAATGTGCTAATGTAAAGGGTAAAAAGAAATTTAAAACGTTAACATTCATTCAAATAGTCATAGCTGTGTATGATGCTACGACTGCACAAAAAACATAATTATCAATCCAGAGACAACTAATGTCTACCTATCCCTACTCTGTTTTCGGTCACGTTGCCGTTGGAATTAGTACCTTCTCAGATTAGTACTTCTTCAATACAGAACATATGGTAGTATTTTGTCTTCTACTGTGCTAAGTTTTTTTAAGGTTGGGAGTAGGACAACGCTCTGCCCCCAGAGTCTGCTAGTTTAATGCAATTATTTTATTTAAAATTCAACAATCTTTTGAGATATTTTTGTAGTTTCATAGCAGGGACCACCATCGATTAATAAAATTTAATTCATTACCTAAATGTGCAATTGTTGTGAGATGAAAAATACTGTTAATGCAATAAAATATTTTACATTCTTCCGTTTATCATGAAGATTTCTTGTTATTTTGTAACCAAATCAAATGTCATTGTAAAAGACAAGTAGCTCAAGACAAGAGTAGTTTTGCGTCAAACATGATAGTATTATTTAGTCATTTAGATTTTTTACATCAAACTTATGAAATATTATAATTAAGATTGAGCATAAGGAAGTTTATAAGAGTGAGGATATTTGAAACAGGAGGTGCTTAATATCTACTTAGTATGAAGTGTTTATTTTGTCAAGAAATGTCTGACATAAAGACAACCTCTAGGATACCATCAGTCGACACAGCAAACAATACGAAATACCGAAACAATTTCACATTAAATTTAGAAGAACAAGATCATATTAAATTTTATAAATATCTCAATATAGTATAAATATATTTACATTCATTAGTACTAATTTTTTTTCTTCATATTGGTGTCTTATTTTAATGCACACTAAATTTTACATAAATTATAATTATTTAAACATTAAAAAGATTTATGGAATGGTTTTTTGTACAAAATGAAATACAAAATCCACCGCACTGGTAGAAATAATTACAAATCACAACATTTCATGATGTACATGATTATGGGAGCCCCTCTCCCCTCACCCCCCCACCGACTAGTCTGTACATTGTACCATATAAATCGAATGAAAGTTTCACTTTCAAGCTTCTCTTCATCGTCCTTGTTGAAAAATAGATGCATCACTACTTAAACTTACAAAATACAAATAAGAATTCTTTAAACTGAATACGATATAGGATAGTCCTCACTGGTCATAGTACATACACCACACCCGTTACACTAATGTCACTAACCGCTCTAGAGCACTACGTCTCGACACTGTTGCCACTCCGAATACGAAAACATAATGGAATGAAGAATTATTGCTAGGATTGCAAGATCACAAATGATTGTTATAGAACAAGGCGCGCCTTCAACAGTTGAAGGTATTGGAGTGCGAGCAGGAGCGCGGGTACTCCTCGCGGCCGTACGCCTCCGGGATGATAGAGTACTCTGGCTCACTGTACTCCACGTGGTCGCGTTCGTATTCCCGGTCGTTCCGCGGGAATCCGATTATCGTTTCGGAATTGCGTATGTACCCGTTCTCTTGTTTTCTGCAGTAGCGAGTGTCCAGGTTTCGTTGGAAGTTTTCTGGATGACAAACGACGCCGTTCCGGTTGTTCTTTTTATCGGGCAAGGAGCGCAAGGAGCCATTGTTGAGATGATGGGCTGGTGCGCCATTGTTCAGGGTGAGTGGTTGATGCGGCCGGCCCTCGCCACCGATGTACGTGAAGCCGTTGGCGGGCAGCGTACCGCCGCCTCCCGAGCGGTGCGGCCGGCGCGCGGAGCCCTGGCCGCCCGACATGAAGAACACGCTCGGAGAGGCGTAAAGCTCTAGCTACAGTTCCGTCACCGGAATTGGCCTGAGGCCGGGGGTGTGCGGTGGGGGAGCGGGGTATTGAGAAGGATGGATGCCCCGCACGATGCAGTCTTCTTCGGTTGATATTGGTTTGTGGTAGTCTAAGTTTTTACGTCCCTTATTCCATTTATAATCTTTTAGCTTTTCTTGCATACTTTTTCGATATCTATAGAGTATCAGTACAAGTGTTGCTAATATGGCGACGCAAGCTACTACCACGATACAAATGATAGTCTGCTGTCGTGAATCGTGGAGTACACATCCCAGATCATCGGCGCTTAATGTTCTCAAATACTTGTGTTTTAAATGTTCAGGACTAGCGCATTGGATTTGGGTAAAGTTGCTTTTGTCATTCATAAGGCTTTGTAGCCACAACAATTGACAGTCACAGAATATAGGATTGTCCGTTATGTCAAGCTGTTTGAGTTCTTTTCCAACGAATACAGATTCGCTTAGTGTTGTTATTGCGTTATCTCTCAAAGAAACGTGCTTGAGCTTAGAAAGTCCAATGAGTGCAGATTCTTCAACCACAGATAGCTTTTTATTATTTACAACAATCACGGATTCCAAATTGACGTTGTCTTCAAATGCTCCACGTTCTACTCTTTCTAGTTGGGTTGCGCCTGTTATATCGATTAACTTCAAATTCTTTAGACCCTTAAAAGAGTGACTTTCGAGTGTCAAAAAATCGTTTTGACCGATATATAGTTCTTCCAATCTAGTAAGACCGCCTAATTGTTGTGTCGGTACAACACTTAATCTGTTGCCAACGAGATTTAAACTTCTAAGTCCAGGAAGACCTCTGAACGCATTGTCACTAATGTTAAAGAGCCCAGCTCCATTTAAGTCTAGTACGGTTAATCGGTTCAAACCAGCAAATGCATCATCGGGCAAGAACGAGAACGCATTGAGACCAACGTGGAGCTCGGCTAGACTGCCTAAGAGGCTGAATGATGCTGTCGGGACGGAACTTAGCGCGTTATCATCCAAGTAAAGTATTCTAAGCGCCGTAAGACCCGCAAAGGCTCGTGAATCGATTTTGGAGATGCTGTTCTGTCCCAAGTTTAGCTCCTCTAGTCTAGGCAACGTTGCGAAAACGCCGTTCGTTAGTTCTTGTAAGAAGTTGCGTTTCAAATTCAGCACCGTCAAAGAGTTCAAGCCTTGGAATGTTGCGTTCGTCACGGACGATATTTTGTTGTGGTTTAAATGCAATTCTTGCAATTTCCGTTGATATGAAAAACTTTTTACTGGTATATTCACGAGGTGATTCTGAGAGAGATCTAAGTGTTGGAGTTCCGTGTAGAACTGCATTGAGCTGTCGATAGTTTTGATTTTGTTGTTGCGGATAATTAAACGTTGGATGGATGGGTTGAGTGCTATGGGTAGTACGTCGAGTCGGCTCTCCTCGCACACCACCACGAGCGTGTCGTCGTTGCAGTTGCAGCCTATTGGGCAGTTCGCTAGGGCGGCCGCACCACTGCACCACGCGAGTAGTTGTAGCAGCATCAACAGCACCTGGAATCAGAGAATATTACCATTAGTATCACTAATATATTAAAAAAAAAGATGTGTGGTGTCGTGGGACACCGGATGGGAACGAAGTTCCTTATTATAAAAATATTAATTTTAAGTTCTATTCGAGGTATAAAGAAAATAAAACTGGAGGTTTCGTAACAACCCACTGTCATTCGGTAACGGGCGAACTTATTGTGGTACACTTCATTCACGGTTGTTTGCTTTAGAGCTAGTGTATTGCGCAAATGAACGCTCTGAGATCGTGGTTAATGAATGATGAAAAAATATGTTATTTTTTGTACGTTATTACGAAGTTAAGTCGTACACTGTGTGCATTACTAATAAAAATCTTACGTTACGGACGATTTTTTCCGATTAGGGTACCCCTCCGCCACACCATAAGGAACTTCGTTCCAAAAAAAACGAAATAAAAAGCATAATATACGAAAAAAACGAAATCAAAAAGGATTTTTAATGAAAGTCTTCGTAGCCGCTTTTAATTGCCATTACTTTACCATGAATACAGTTTCACTACTGAGAAGAATAGACATGAAACTCAAACCTAGCTCTTTTTTAAATATACAGGGTGTCCCAGAAAGAATGGACAATCCTTGAACCCCGCACGGGACAGCTCTCCAGCGCTCAGAAAAAAATATCTAAAAAAAAGAATTCCAAGTGATACCCAAAATATGATTTTTTTTAGAAAAACATACGTTATTTTTACTTTACTTCACATTCATATGCACAACGGCCACAAAGTTATGAAATTTGTGGCGTTTTTGGTGTCATCTTATTCCTGATAGACTATACTACTAGAAATACATTAAATAATATAAGTATCTATGATACTTTTTTCAAAAACAAAATAAGAACTTTAATTTTTAACCTGAAATTTGATACCAGACTTATTGGACTGGTATATTAAACGGGATAATTATTTGTCATTTCGAACTGCCGGCAAATTTATCTTCTCATAGTTATTTAAATTTTTTGCAAAATGATCTCCTGGACTTAGTGGAAAAAGTGCCTGAGAAGGTAAGGGAATCCCATTGGCTACAGAATGATGGCTGCCCTGCACATCATGGTACAAACGTCCCCTCTTATTTAAATGCCACGTATCCAAATAAATAGATTGGTCGTTTGGGTCCCATTTTGACCGTTCCAAATGAACGACGCTATGGACGTTATCTTAGTAGAGCCTCTAATAGAAGATGTCGAGCGTGTATTAGAGTCGGTGGCAGACAACTTGAGCACCTGTTGTGAATAAAGCTTGATTTATGTACACCCGATTTTTTTATTATTATTAAAATTTATTAAGACTTATTTTTTATTTTTAGTCGTATTTACTCTTATTGCATCTCAATAGCAATAACTTCGTAGTGGTATTAGATAAAAAGATGTATGATACCATTTTGTAAGCTGTATGAGCTGCGCATTTTTTTAAAATAGCTGGCAACTTACCTTTTCGTACTTTTTTTTTACATGAAACACTCTCAAACTACGCCAAAATTATTTTGATATCAAATTTGAGGTTAAAAATTAAAGTTCTTATTTTGTTTTTGAAAAAAGTATCATAGATACTTATATTATTTAATGTATTTCTAGTAGTATAGTCTATCAGGAATAAGATGACACCAAAAACGCCACAAATTTCATAACTTTGTGACCGTTGTGCATATGAATGTGAAGTAAAGTAAAAATAACGTATGTTTTTCTAAAAAAAATCATATTTTGGGTATCACTTGGAATTCTTTTTTTTAGATATTTTTTTCTGAGCGCTGGAGAGCTGTCCCGTGCGGGGTTCAAGGATTATCCATTCATTCTGGGACACCCTGTATATGTACATTGACAAAAAATATAAAATGTTATTAAATAAGGATGACTTTAATAAAATCTGTATCACAGAGTATTGGCCAAAGGTCTAATGGTGCTGTGGTGTTGAGCACAAATTTAAACCCATGCGCTTTCATCATTCACGTTGTGACTACTGTATAATACTCGCAAGACTTCCTTATTAAGGTGTTGTTACTCTGCTTATTTCTACCGTGAAGCAGTAATGCCTTTCGGCTTAAGGGGTGGGACAGTCGTTGTACTGTATAAACTCAGAACTCAAGTCTCAAGGTGGGTATCGGCATTTACGTTGCAGATGTCTATGGGCTCCGGTAACCACTTAACACCAGGTGGGCTGTGAGCTCATCCATCGATATAAGCAATTAAAAAAAAAGTCGTGGAAATAACTGACAGACAGAAGTCGAAAAGTTTCAACATTCATTGTTTTCCTTTTCTATTGCATACTGCCGAAATGTATATCTTCCTACAAGCCCTTGTATATATGGACTGGTTTAATCATTTAACCTTGTTTAGTAGTATTCATTTCGTTCAGGTGACAAATTATTGACGTTTAGTAAATAAAACTCCTCTGGAAACTGAATGAAAAATACTGTAGCCTTTTTTTTTTTTAAACAAATCTAATATTAAGAAAAAATCTAATATTAAGGCTTATTGAAATGATCATGTCATTTAGGATTGTACTGTATACTTAAATAAATACGTGTATTGACACTGTTGCAAGTAAATGATTTTGTAGCTTAGGTTAGATTTGATAATTCGCGAAGCAATTGCTCTTGAGTTGTTAGGTCTCCTTCGGAGGCGCTCGGGCAGTTGTTAGCAAATCCCACCCCTCCTGGCTGAGCCTTTGCTCGCCCAACTGTCCTGGTGAAACTGGAAAGGCCTCCGGGCCACCAGTTATCTTTCAATCATAAAAACAAAAAGATTTGATAACGAAACGCAGTGATCCGTAAATAGAGTAGGGTTACAACTCTTTCTTCACGTATGAATACATGAATTCCGTTAAAAGCATAGTTGAATGGCACTCGTGAGCTTGAAAGCTATCTCGATGCCACCAGGCCCATCTTGTTAAGCGCGGACTGGACCGCAAACGTCGGGATTGGTACTCGGGAAATGTTTACGTTCATTCCAATCACGCGAGTACACACGTTTACCTGAAAATACTCGAAGCGTTTTTAATCCGAATTTCGTTTAGGTAGATTGCCGTTCTTAGCAAATGGGAGCGCTGTGAGACGGGCGTACGCTTCCACTGAAAGGAGAGGGTAGAGAGAAAAATAAAATAATATCGGAATGGGAATTTCGCACAGTTTTAATTTATTAAAATGTGCTCTCCTCGAAGCTGGCCTGGGCCGGCGTCTTCGCTTCAAAGAGCAACACTTTTATTACGTTTCCACTCTTCGACAATTAGCAAGGAGATCGGAGCGAGCGGGATCCGAGTCTACAATTACAAAGTGTAGTTAAATCGTATTACTTTGAGATGGCTGATGGATGCAAGCCCGACAATTTCTCGTTTTAAAAGACAAAGCTGACTGTAGTTTGTCGGATAACTTTGTTTATTAGTCGTCTTTTAGACTCGCTCTTGGATGGTAATTGGATTGAACATCAAGAGCAGAACCCAAGTTTTCAATGTTAACTCGCTTTTCTGTGCGATTCGTAATTCGTTTTTGTTCGATCTTAACTTTGAAGTCAAATAGAAGTAGTACATTATACATAATATGTACATATAAATTAATATTTTTTCACACAAAAGTCTCTTCAGCCAGTATTTTCTCCTGTGTTCTCTACATTGAATTACCGTACATTTTTGCATACATACATATTTCTGTTCCCTCTTAATCAAGTTTCGAACTTTAACATTTGAAACGACTGTCCAACGACCAGAGAACCCGCTCGGTGAAAGATTTCCTTTGTCGGCTCCCCAAAAATGGAGGTCTGCGATGTATCAACTGTAGCTTTTACACCACAAATCAAATCAAATCAAATCAAAATCAAAAAATTTGTATTCAACATAAATGAAAGTACATACTTGTTGAACGTCAAAAAAACTACCGCCAATTCACAAGAACTAGCCTCCGTCCTGAGAAGAATTGGCAAGAAACTCAGCAGGCATGTCTTTTTTTTTTTTTAATTAGTTTTTATATTAGATTTTTATTAAATATTCATTTTTACAATGAGTATTATAACATAACAATTATTACAATATTGAAATTCCCAGAGCAGCACACCGTCAGGGCGTCATCAAAGTCGACTACCGCAGCTCCAAGACTTTCGCAGTGCAACGCAAGCTACTTTACGATATCCGCATACAAGTAGTAGGTAACAAGAAAATGTTAACAGTCTAGCTTTTCGTAATGGCCAATTAAAATTCTTTTTACGTTTGATTACGCATACAAAAAACAAAACAAATAACATTAAATTCCTTACGAAATATGTAATGTAAACCAAAATGTTTCAGTCAAGAGTCAGCATGATAAATTGAAAAGTACAGTCGTGCGCGATATTCCACCGCATCCGCAACGTTTAGCATTCCATTTTGCACGTATCTGCTCCGACGTACGCAGGGCTGCCGATGACATTGTTAGTGTTGCAATAAATAAAATGTTTACTTTTTTGTTTCAATATTTAGGTTCACTTTCTTAAAGGCTCTTTAAGATACTAAAATAAAACATTAAAACCGTTTTAGTTTTAAGACACGACGACATACATTATACCTTAATATTGAATGTTCGCGTTTAATGTTTGTATTAATAATAAATGATTAGAAAAATTTTTTGGAGGTTGTATTATTGAGCGTGTAGTTTTATACTGAGTGTATTATGAAAGGTATCTTAATAGATTTGTGCGTCCTTATTTCTTTGAAAACTTTTCTCATTTTGTAATTTACGATAACGTAGAACATTTGTTGAGTATTTTTGCAATAATAAAATTTAAGTCTACAATCGAGATATTGAAATAAAGTTTATTTAAAAAATGTACATATCATTTACAGTACATAATATTAAATTATTAATATTTCCATATTTGCGGTCTGGCAACACAGCGTTCATACAATTCAGAATTCGTTATGGGATGCACGGGACGGCGGCAAACATTCATTCGGCTTCGCGTATATCGTCGGCGGCCTCGGCAGTATTCCCTCTAAAATCCAATAA